TGCTCCATGTTACGAGACTGTTTCAAGTGGAAAAACTTGTTAATGCCGCAATTCTCAGTGGCCTCAGGGCAAGCCTATCCGTCCGGACCGCTGGAGTTACGTTTCCACATTGTGAGAATAATCTTTAGCCAGATTTATGTAAGATAATGATTAGGAAGCATCAGAATACTATCGGTTTATCTTTTAACTCTAAATTCGTGTCAGAAAAATTTTAGATCCCTTGTTTTTGTTCTACATTATCAGATTTGCAAAATGGGGGCTATGGATACGTATTCCTATGCAATGCGTCGCTATATCAGTGTAATTAAATTTGAATTGCATCGTCGAGATTGTAGAGGGGTTCCAAATAGGCCGGGTCAAAAAGTTGTAAGCGGTGAAGAGCGATCTAGATGCCACGCCACGCGTCCCGCGCTCGTAATTATGTGCCGAGATTTAGGGATGCCGCCTCGAATTGACCCAGATCTAAATAATCCCCTTGACGACTTCTACAACCAGGGATTGTTTTATCTTATTACATATGGTAGAAATTTTGTTAACCAAAAACTAAAATAAAAACAGTTGGGTAATAATCATGGGCAAGATATAAGTTCGACTGTACTTACACCATCTACGTGCCCTTTTAATATTGCTGTAACGTTTGTTGAAGGTCACATTAATTGATTTCGCGAAACTTATTAATCATTTGTAAATAGTTTGTCTATTTCGTTAGGAAACGTCTCTTGATTATAATATCTTATGGTAAAGATTTCCCTGACCCAATGTTGAATATTGAGAGCAATCGTGTCTCGGTCTCAGTTAAGTGGCTACTTGAAGATTTCAGAAAAATAACATTATCCTTGAGGTGTAGTCTAGGCTAGCGAGACGGTAGTTACGAAGGGTGAAGGCCAAGATTGCGTAAGTCAGAGAGATTTTAGGTACATAACGCAAACTGAATGCGCAAGGAGTGGTTTTGAAATTGTATCAATCTGTATTCAGCACAGGTTGGAGAGCCAGTTATAACCAATTAGGACGTTTAATCCAACATACGGTGGTACAGGGTTAACGAAAATTGCCCCGTTGCCCATGCAATTAAATTGAAATTCGTTTCGGTTCTTCCTATACCTACCCAGATTTTCGTTCGTACCGCTTGACGCTGTTTAATTAAACTTTGTAAAATTTTAACGCGAACAACCACAATTAAATGTTTGAACTGTTAAATATTTTATCCTAACGGTATGTATTTGAGTCGAATTTTGGGGTTTCGAGTGGCAACTTCGACGAATTTGTAAAATCTATTTTGGGAAAAAGTCGTTTGAATAATATAGTAGCCTGACTGAATGAGTCCTTTTAATAGAATGAGTACAGAGTGCCATAGCACAATAACTGAACGACGAAAAGGTTATGCATATTATTTTGAGCAAAACATTTCTACCAAGTAAGTTTTTATCTAATGAAAGTGAAAATAAAAGTTGCCAGTCTATGAAAAAATAATATTCGGCCTACAAAATAAAATCGACGCCAGACCGACCTATGCTAGGAAGCCAATACAGCTGACGTTATCAGATCTGGTTCGATTGAAATACGTGACGTGACTCCCAATTCGCTACCTCACACTCCACGCCACGAAAATAGTTCAAGCCTTGTATGTGTTAGCTCCATTTAGTAGAACATTCGAAATTGTGGTTTTCATTGAAAATGTCTAGCGAATTGTTACTTACAAGTTATTTTAAAAATACTTTGAAACATTCGTGCTTACTTTTCGGTTGGGGTTTTATTTGAGAACTGAGAATATTTTTGAACGTGGTGTAATAATATGTGAATGCTTGATGATTGTGACTCATAATCATATTTGAAATATGTTTATGAGTAACCATGATTATGAGACAGGTGTACGAAATATTATCCGATATGGAACATCACACGTTCGATATGCCCTAAGTACTTACATAGTTCATAGCTGCTTATAAACTAAAGCGGCCGTTCGTCCGTAGCCCTTTTCTGAGCCACAGGCGAAGTGGCGACCATGACCGTGTCTGCTCGAAATTAACTCACTGGCTGCTTACTGTTACGATGCGACTGGGATGAAACCCTCCATAAATTGTAAATCAGCTTTGCCACTACCTCTATTTCATCTAATACCTATTTCGAAAATCTACTGCAGAATTTGTATCGTACAATGTATATTCTTATAATATTCCTTGAATTAAAATATATTAAGTTAAATTAACTTCAACTTTAAAAATAGTAATAAACTATTTTTAAAGTTGAAGTTTTTTCTTGCATTACTTAAAATAATATTCACAACAGAGAGCAGATAATATAAGAACTGAAAAACCTTGAATTCAGTATCTTATCGTATGACAAGAGCATGATAATGGTCCTTAGTCGCCGGTGTTCTCAAGTTGATAAAATTTGAGTAATGCAAATGACATTCGAATAATGTTATTGTGGTAGCGTTTTCTCGTTATACTTTCATGTCAACTTTACCCAATTTACTAAAGGCTAATTAAACATGCTAAATTAATACGGATACGAATGAATTTGATTGTCCGCTTCGTAGGGATTGCTCATAATCATTGTAAACAATTGGCTGTTTCCTGCGCTATTAAATCAGGATAACTGCACGTATAACGAGCGGTACAAATGTGTACAATTACATTTCGTGTCGTAAATACGAATCCTTTTTATGCTCGGATGCGTATGAACTCGGCACGACGACGATGTTTTGTAGGCGTTGTGAGACGAGGTGTCAATTATTACGCTGAGTTACACCGTACACGTGTTGACGCTGTATCCTGTGCCGATGTCATAAGGTCAGCCTGTATATTTTTCTATAAACGATTCCCCAGTTTAAAGGTTAAATGTTAAGGTCTGACATTAAAACTACTATTCTTGGCTCGTATGATGTAGAAAGCGTTTCATGCAATTGGAACATACTCGTATTTCGAAGTTCTCATGTTAGATATTGATTAATTTATCTGTCTGTTTGTCTAACTATCTATCTATCTAGCGATCTCTAATCCCTGTCACCATTATCTTGTTTTCTTTACGACATTGTCTCATATTTTATTCATTTGCTAATTGAATTAGCAGTAGTGAGGTTTTGTAGAGTAAACCTATAAAAGATTATGGACATTGAAAGTCTTGTCAAAACACTTGCGTTGACGCAAACAGACGTAATAGGAAAATTGCACCATTTACGTTACGTCAGTTAAATGATCACGTGAATCCTTGGCCGTCTATGAATTCTTATTACATTAATGTTTACTCATAACTAGTTTACTGAAAAAGTTGACAATACGGTAGCTAAACGCAAGCTTTTGTTGTTAAACTTGGCTAAATTACTTCGGTGAGTGTTACAGTGACCTATATCGACACAGCACGACCCGACCCCTGACTCTGACCGCCATCGCCACCTCCGTTCACGCTTTGTTGTCATAAAAAGGGAAAATTATATTTTGTTGATTTCAGAAGATAACAAAGGTTCCGCTAAAATACAATGGTTTCAACTCACCTCGTTGGCCAAGTGTTTGTCTTGAGTGATACAAATAAAACCTTCGTCAAATACGTATTTTACAAGTTGACAAGTTAGATACACAATTTCATAGTCTTTCTAATTATTATGTTTTCGGTTTACTCACGTAACTGTTTGATGAGGAACTTACCTAGTTTCAAGCCATGCTAGAGCCTCATATTCATGATCAGCATTCCGCGACCATCGACGCGGCGTCTGTCGCGCTGCTACTAGCCTCCTCCTCCTGCTTGCCTCTAGCATGACTTGAAACTAGTCGAGTTCCTCGTCAAACAGTTACGTGAGTAAGCCGAAAACATAATAAGTAATTAATTAGTATGTCTCACGAAAGTTTTAATATATTCATTAAAAATATTATATTTTCCGTTTTATTGAAGAAATCTTAATGGTAAGTGAATCAATCTTTTATCAGTGTAAGTAAAACAAAGCCCTGTTCACCTACATCGTTGCATTATTCCCTCTGGAGAACAGCGGCGCATCGCGCATCAATAGGCCCTTGTGGATATACGGACTGTCCGTACAAATTGAATAATGGCTAGCCCGCCTCTACTAAGTGGATTCTATTTTGCTTTTCGTGTACATCTGATGTCGACCCCTGCTTACGTCACGACTAAAACAAACCACGTTTAGCCTCCTGTCTCATTTATTATTCCTTTGGTTTTGTATTTCAGAGTTTCATACACAATTTCATTAGCGACGTTATAATACGTAGCCTTTTGTGGAGTCGAGTTGATCTCATTAAGAATTAATAGGAAAGGCGACAGTACTGTTTCTAGTTATGACTTATTGTTCGGAACAAAGTGGTGAATAATTATTAGGGACACGTTGTGCGATGTCAATCCGACACAGTAATCACCAGTATTGGAAGAGAAACCCTTTTACAATATTGAATATCCAAGCAGTATTTGCTTTTACTGTTGCTTTCAAACGTATTATCCTAGTAATGTACAGAAACTCATGCATAATTTGATAGGAAAGTAGACAAAGGAGTATTACGGACTAAAACATGGCTTCTATCGTTAAATTATACGGCTCGTTCTTTCTACAAGTATAATTCTCGACATTTTACCGTTTCAAAAATAAAATGTAAAGAACTCGTCAGTGTAAAAGTCCTGAGAACTCAACATGTGGCACCACTTCTCACGTCAGCTTGAGTTACAAGTGCAACGTGGATAAATGGAGTGTCGACCGTCCACGACGCCTCGCGATTCATTATTTCTTCTTACTCCACAACTTCTAAAGTGTAATTACAATTAACTAACGTCTTAATGTAATAACGATTAATTGTATTACGAGCCCGCCCGTAGTTTCGCTCATACTCAATTAGTTAGAGAACACTGAATGGCGCATGGAAGTAGAATTATTTTATCTTTCCCTATATGAGTAAGGCCTATATTTCTTAAGTGATTTCTAGGATGTTGTTGGAAATGATAGTAATGGGTAACAGACATTAGAGATTTATCTTAATTGTATTGTTTTTTGTTCACAGGCGCAAAGCGACGATGACGATGTCGGGCCCGACGACGTCAACGTCGCCGTCGAAGGAGGCTTTATGGACGAATTCTTCAGTGAGGTAAGTCTCTTTTGTTTTCACACCGCACTGACGCGTAATCCACTTAATAGACTTTAATTAACCCAGAGCCACCGCTCTGTAACTCGCTGTTTAGTACGAACATTATATTCTGAAGGCTTTGTTAATTACTGTTGTAGTGTAAATTCCTCAGCTAACTTGGTTACTCGGCTATTTTTATTAAATTGTTGAAAGGAATTAGAGCTGGAAGTGGGACAGTGAAAATAGTACTTAATTGGTTTGTTATATTTTAAAAAATATTGCTGCTTTGGAAGCGCTGTAATTTCTATTTGAAGAAACATAAGCAATGTTTGACTAGTACAGAACACATAAAACCTGTTTTAAACCTGTGGTCAACGACGTTATGATGTCATGATACAGCATGAATGTTTGCAATCCTACATAATCGAATATATCTCGATTAAATATAAAGTGTATGGTTATGTAGAGGTTAGAGATTAATCTTAAGGAGTATGAATCATACGTGACTCCATTATGACTAAGGTTTACGGACGCGTCAGTTTTGTCGTTTCTAGCGCTCGCTCTGGTAATCACCATAATGAACTTGTGATAATATGATTCATTTCCTCTACATCTGCTGCTCACATTCCTGCAAAGAACTTTCTGCTGCCTAGATGTTACGGAATTTTTCTAAACGATGTTGAATTCAATAGTCATATATTATAAAGTCAAGAAAGAAAAACGTTCCCTTTTTGGTACGAGATTTATCGCTGGATTTGGCGCTAGCGAACTGGATTAAATATTTCGATAAGAATTCTTCTCTCTTTACTGATACTAACATTACGTCATACCTGCGATACTTCCATAGACACAGCATCAATTCCATTTTGCAAGCTCCACTGACACGCGGCTATTCTGTCTGCCCGAGTTTTCCAATCAGCATAGTTGTACACAAGTTTCAGCGTGCCGTCCCTATTGTTTTCGCGTCGTGCACGTAAGCGTTGTGCTGTTTGTTTTACTTGACTATATTACGTTATCGCGTGTCGCCATAGGTATTTAATTATGTCTACCCACATACCTATTTGGTATTCCGTACTTCACGAACGTGTAATGCCCCTCATCCGGATTCTCCGAATAATATATTTCGAAAAATGTCTCTGTAGGACAAAGAGCTTGTTAGCGAGTACTTATTTATTCATTTACACACTTTGAATGTAGATATGTGCTGCTAACAGAATGAACGTAGTCGAAAATGTTTCTTAGCTTAGCTTCAAGTCTTGAAAACTATTTAAACTGTGTGATTACTAACTCTTAATAAGTTCTTAAATGAAGTTCTATACAACGTGCCTTTGACCTGGCAACAACTAGTATGTGATGTACTAAAAGTGGTCGAGAATGAAACCATGGCTTCTGAGATAAAAGCATTCGCATGTACAAAGCCTATGTCATGTAAATATACTCTAAAACGTCAATAAACTTGCTTTATGGTACCTTATGACAGTTATGACGTCATTATCGATTCAATGTCCGTCTTATGTGTGAATTTGAACACTATTTTGCATTATCAATTTGCTATACCACCAATACCAATACTTAGGTACTGGATTCAGATTATACAAGTGTGTTTACTGTTTTAATTCTTAATATTCAGTCTCAAAATACAATACGGTAAAAGCAAAACGCGTACTTTCGGTTGCCTTAAACCCAATCAAGTGTTTAATTGGAGCTTTTGGGACTGTGAATCCGAAATACAGTTTTTATCGATTTATAGATACATACGTCGGATAAAGCTTTTCACTTTAGGAAAATGTGCTTGGTATAACAATTCCAATTTCCAAGAATTTGTTGGGGAAACTACAGTCGGTTACTTAGCTATTTGTTTAAGTAACCACTGTTGTTACCTTCTTAAAAGAATCACTGCGTCATAATTCTTAAAAATACATAATATGTCATTGTCTTGTTACCAGAAACATGCACTAATATTTTTATTAGGTGTTGGAATAATCTTATAATTAAATAAACCTTTCTGTTATGTCATTAATTAGAGCGAGCTGAATGTTTATGAGTAATATTCTAATATTAAAATAATCTTTCATGCTTAAACAAGCGATGCTGTATTAACTTTATTATTTAAACAACCTTTAAAAACCAACTTGTAAACAACATGTACATTTTATTAATAGGCGTAATGTTGTGGTTGGGTTCACGCTAAGTGTAAACCTAGCGTACCTGCTCTCTAAATAAATGGATGCGGTCATAACACTTTGTTAAATTGATTGTTTAAATACAACATTGTAAGTAAAGCGTCCCACATCAGTTTAATAACTTCATTTAATAACGGTGCCTTTTGTTTTCAAGTAGCTTATTTATTTTTGTGACGCGTTTTGTAGAAGCTTTTAGGTGACTGAACAGTTTGGTGAGTCATACCAGCAATGACCTACGAAGGAGAGACAAATCTGTTTGTGTTGCTCGAAAAACACAAAACTTTTTTCCGAAGTGACGCAGGTCTCGGCAGATGAGAAAGTTCAAAAGTAATGACATCAATAAAATAGTAATGTATGTGTCCCCCTGAGATATTAAAATGAAGCTGACTCAACGGGCAGGCTGTGGGCTCGTGAGTTCCGACTTCCGATTGGGCGGCGAGCGGCGTAGCGTAGCTGTCGTAGCCGTAGCGCTACGAAGCTCGATACTGCGTACACATGACATCCAATTACACCATCCTCTCCGTTACATAATAACAGCTCTGTTTAGTTACCCCCCGAATTTGTGAGTGGAGGAACTTCAACAAAGTTAGTACCTACTTTATAGCATACTCATAAAAGTTGCTTACTTTTCACAACCAGAGCTTTGTCTTGTTATTACGCTGGTTACTTTCATACAAAAAACTTCCACTTGTTTCTTTGAAGTATTTTGCAAGGGTTGCTGAAAGGGGCTTTAATTCGTATAGCTCGGTTGAACTGTAACTGTACTGCCGTAGCTTACATAATCCTAGTTAATTCGGTGCCCGCAAACATGACCCGCTTCGGCACAGCCACTTCCATAAATAAAATTTCTATAGCTTTATAAATCTGCGAAGCGGCTCTGCACATTATATACCTATTATTTATGAGTACATAATACGGGATCATATATTGGTCGACAGCGCCCGCTAGCCCTGCGTGGTGACTATAGATATGGACATTAACTCCCCAGCGAAGGGTCAATGTCCATCAAATTGCTATAAGCTGAATGGAACATAAGAAATTTTTCACTTGGTTCGTTCCGTAACTGCTACGAAGTACCCTTTCAGCCTGAATAAACAAACATTAACATTTTATAAATCACTAAACATTTTATTCATATTTATAACTTACTTACAGCTTATGGCGTCAATCGCGTTTTATACAATGTTAAAGTTCTTGGGTTGTAATTGTGTAAAGGATACTTGTAAAATGCGTTAATGTCACAGAAGTTAAGCTAGACAGCTTGTTTATTCCTTTCGATTCACTAAGCAGTTGCTTGGCGACTGGGCTTCAATCAGTTGTACAGTCTCTTTTTTGTGCCTTTAGGCTTAATTCATTCTGTCTCCTGCAGTAATTCACCGAGGGAAGTGGAAACTATCGTGTTTTCTCTTCTCCTCTTATAATATCTTCTGATTCACTTCCTTGCGGGAACCAAGACAGTTATTCATGTCCCTGGGACGCACTGGACTTCAGTGTTCCGGTGTTTTCATGGTTGTATCTACTGTAGATCCTGGCTTATAGGAGTTGTAGCGGTTTTGGGAGGTTGTGGCGGGCTTGTCCCATTAAAAGAAGCAGGTGTTCTAATGCTCATTTTGTGCAAGCTTCTTTACTACAACAATATTATGTTTTATTACAATCAACCCCATTAACTATGCCATGCCTTTGGGGTACATTTAAGTTAGTTCGTGCGATGTCGCATATTAAAACCACAATATAAACAGTTCTACTCATTCAATATTCAATAATTTGTATTTGATTGAATATAAAACCACAAACACCAAATCAATATTCAAAATGAAAGTTTATGAATAAAATATGTGTTTAACAGCGAGTTGAATGTTATGTTTAAAGACGGAGATTTATTTCAATTGTATCGATTACTTAACTGTATTATTTAATACACAGTCGCTTGTCATATATTACGACCAGACAGTCGAGTTCCGACTTCGTACTGAATATTGCAATGAATTGACAATGAAGTATAATTAATTATCGATCTTGCTGCATACGTTTTGAGTATTTTGGTAAAAGTTGTCATCCAATAGTAATCGTACTAACTAGAATTAAGAAACGAGCCGCAACGGACTTAATTCTCTTAATAGGTCATGCCTGCAGCTAATTGGTAATCACTAAGCACTCTAAAGCAGCCAGGTAATTTTCCACAAACTCCCACATTTAAGCCTAACAAAGAAGCGAACCATTACTGCAATCGATATTATTGTGCACCTACTTAGATTAAATGGTGGGAACGAAACCTGTTGTGGAATTCTTATATTATTCGTTATATCACAGACATTTGCATTTTGAAACATCACATCAATCAAAGTGGTGTGATGCATCGCACTACTAGACATTTTTAATATTTTAGCAGTCAGTTTATTCTCCATGAATTTGGAAGTTATAATATTATCATATCGTTTTTATCGTAAGTTTTTACTGAGCCAAAACGTATTTCCATTCCGTTTATATGACAGGTACCTAATATAATACTAATGGGAACAATAAATGTCTTTCAGATCCTAGTACCAAAATGGTTTTAGAATGGTATAAAAATGCTAATGCTATATTCTCAACCGGCGTCGTCTCTCAATGAGGCAGTGGACTGCCCCAGGGATATATCTAATTTTCCTTCCCGTTCTTAACTTTACTCCCAGATACGGAATACAATAAAAAAATACGAGTCGTCGCCAGTTTTTATTCGTGATGTGAATTCTTCACGCGTTTTCATTTAATTCACAACACAACACACAACTGTGTCATAAATATTCAGGCTGTGCTTGGTATTCATCATAATCGTGCGATTCATTTACATGTTATTATGTGGGGATGAGAGATGTGTTATATCGTGGACTCGTGGTAACCGGAACGAGGGATGCACTTAACTTAATTACGTCATAACACATACATTTCTCAACGTCTAGCAATTAATCCACATATGGAGTGCTAATCATGGTAGTTCTACTACTATTCGTTCTACTCATTTAGAAATGCATTTTAAATGAGTGTCAACATCCTCTCAGGCATATTTTATGCATGCAGATAAAACGATCTTATGAAACTACATTACTGGATCTGCATAACCGTGACTCACAAATTTATTTAACCAAAACATCCAAGATTTTATGCTGAGAACACAAGCCTTCGAGTTCCCGTTCACGTTCCATTGCGTTTCTTCAGCAGTAACCTCGATAAATCCATTGATAATATTGAGAAAGAAAAGTAACGTACTGTGAAGCGTAACTTTGAATTATGGTATTGTCATTGTATTGGAGTTTAAGTAATGTCAAAGTGGAAACTGTATTTTAATAAAAAAGCCGGTAAATCAATGTCACTCATTTGTTGTGCTGACTCTGATGTTCAACGAAAAGTTTTTGTAATTACGACTAAAGCAGTTCGTAGCTTTGCGAAATGACGGTACACAAGCGGGCTAATGAGTAAAATGCCTCATATTAATACTAGAGCTAGCTGGAGCCTACATTGCGGCCCCATTTGCAACTCCATTTCAGCTTACATACGTACTTCTAACTTGCGACTCTCGTAGAATTAATGGATCACGTTTTTACTTCAGTGGTGGCGCGGTGGCGGCGGCAGCGACCTTTTTTACTCTACCAATCGAATCGAAAGTAGAAAGTAGAGTTGAAATAACGAAACGGATTATAGTAATGAGATTGGACATGTATTTTAAATCCTGTTATAAATAGTTGTCAGACTATCTTTAGTAATGTACCTCTATTTCGAACTACTTTTTTAGTTTATTTCAATAGAATTTTCATATCTTTCAATTTTCATGCGGTCATTACAATATTCTAACAATTTATTGAGACGCCTGATTTAATGGGATCACATAGCCACTAGTCTAGACGGGTATCGATAAAATACGAATACCGTTATTAAACAATGGTATCGTAGACTTTAGAATAATCGTTAAGTTGGCTATCGGCTGCTAGCTAAACGATATCGGTTATCGGGCTAATCTGATTAATTGGTGAGTCATGATGTGAAGTGTCGCACGACCCGGGCACGGACGTTCTCCTATCGACTCAACCGCATTCTCGACCCTGAACCGTACTTTTACTTATCAATCTACCCGATACAATGACCGATACATTGATTGTTTAATTTAATTTTACATAATCTAGCAAAATTACTCGCCTTTTCAATAAAAAATGAATTCATTTGCAATCTCTACGAACTGTGCTACGAGTAGAGGAATGAACGATATTTTTAGACACTAATAATTGTATTCAAAGCTAAGGCAAATTAATATTTACCTAATTTAAATAATTTTCCCATTTACGTTAGTGCGATTTAAGAATTATCCTGAAAACAACCGTGTACCTACTTACATATTGTTCCAGTATTTACCTCGTGGTATTAACAAATTTTCCTTCCGTTCAGTCACTTAATAATTTATTCTTTTGAATCCGTTTCTGTTCTGATGATTCAGGGCTGCCTATTGTGTTTATTGATTCAATCTTGATAAAATGTTTTCGCAATGACTGGTGCAATTTCATACCTCTACTAAATTAGTTGTAGAGACTAAGAAATGGCAAGCAGTTTTAATTTTTAAAGTTAACGTAGATTAACCAACCTAGAATATTTGTTCAGCGGTTGGACCTCAGCCAGTAATCTCCCTAAGGCAAATTTAATGTTGAACATGGCTCGAAAAGCTATCTCAACCAATTAGTTAACACCAGCTTAGTCCTGTTTTAAACCTTGTTTTCTTTTTTAATAACTGTTAATTGTCTAAACTTGACATTGTCCTTTTTTATTGCGTTCACCTTTTTTCTCTTAATTAATGACGACGGAAAAGGGCGCGAAGTAATGTAGGTCAGCTAATTACGCTGGGTTTGTTTATTCAATTATTTACCGTCCCCTAAAGAAATCTTTTTCTTAATAATAATGGAATTTTACTTCCAAACGGAACAGTTTGACCTGAAGATATTTTTATTCCGTCATGTTTTGATTAAATAAAAACTTTGTGAATTTGTAAGGCTTTAGGACGAATCTAAACGTGATTAAATACTTGATTTTCATGATATAAAGTGGTTAGTTTCATTTATATTTTCAAATTTTAAGAAATTGTCGTATGCACGGGCACACTGCTAAGATAGGAAAAGTTTAGTTTTTAGTAGTTTAAACATAATTGTTACCATTCGTCCTCAAGTTTTTCAATATATAAAAGATTTCTGTCAAGAATTGTAGCTATAGTAGGTTAGGTCAGGATGTATCTGCTGGCTTCGTGCCAGGAGAACCAACGCCGCGCCGCTACGACTAGACTTCGAGACGTTCTTTAAGCCCGATACAGAGATAAACGGCGAACTGCACTGCTCCAGAAAAAATAGCCTCATCGCTCCAACTTGATGAGTAATTAACTCTGCGCTAAAAGATGGCTAGTCAGGCGATAGTATAGAATTAATGAGCAGAGACTAAATGCTATACAAAAGGTGCGAAAATGTTAACATGAAACGTGAGCACATTGTCGTCTCATTTATCTTTTTGCCTTGTATGATTCACTGTCCAGTACTGGTTTCTGATGAAATAATTAAATCTATGCTAAATACTTCGTATGATTTATTTACATAATTCCGTGTTAGGCCTTTTGGTCCGTGCTTATTATCTAAGCGACTCGATAAAGAAAGTTTCTGTATCAGTCGGATAACTTATCACCACTTATCAACCTGATATGAAATTTATCGGGAACAAAAATCATGGGAATTACAAATAAACAAATATTTTTGTTTACAATGTTACTTAACGAAATAAGATTTCTTAGTCATACTTATTCTCCGAAAGATTCCCAAAGATCAATATTATGACGTGACTGTTTTTGTGACAACATGCATGACGCAGTAACAATAACTTAGTCTGACCTCAATAGAGGTTAACTATGTCTTCAACACTAGTATTGTGCCTAAGAATAAAAGGACGAATATATCTCCGCCTACCTTTCAGGGTTCATGACTTGATGTTACATTATATCATTCAGTTTATTTAGATACCTTTGTACCGCCTATATGTCCCAAATCAAATCCTGTTCCAAAAATGTTTTCATAAAGACGCTGCGAACCTTTGGCGGAATTCAATAAACCTAATGTCATATATTTTTCTGTTCAGGTTGAAGAGATACGAGAGATGATAGATAAGATTCAGGCGAACGTGGAAGAAGTGAAGAAGAAGCACAGTGCCATCCTATCAGCACCGCAATCAGATGAAAGTAAGTTCCAACACTCGTCTGTAGTAACTTTTGTTGTAGGTGTTACTAAACGAAAACCACTTTCAACTACTGCGGACCATGAAAGTTGTAAGCCTGTATGGGACTTTGTCATAATCCTTGTTTGATACACAACTTTGCAGATGATGGATGTTTCTAAGTTAAGTACTGGTAGTTCTGCCTCCTCAAGGCTGAGATTACCTGCATTCAATGAGTAGTCGTAATGACACCTCTTAAGGGTCTTATTAAGGCCATTACGTAATGACGGGTTGCCACGGCAACCTATTGTGACCGTACTCAAAGACCGTGAATTACACACGTTCTTTTGTTTTTCTGTATTTTATGGCGCGTAAGTAAAATAATATAAAGTATAAAATGTATTTCTTATGCACCACCAACTTTAAATTGTATTGTCTGACAATTCTGCGAAAAATGTTTTTCCTTTTATCGCGGTAAAAGTTCAAAACATAGTGTTTTATTGTCGCCCCCATTCCTCCCACTTAACAATGAATCTCTTCGAAAGTTGATAGTCTAAAAATAAATGTTTTGCTCCATAGACTACCATGGTTATTGGAATTGCTGTAGCTATGCGTGGGTAGGATTCAACTTAGCTCGCAGTATACCCACACATTAATTGAAAGGGCGAAGTTGGTGGCATTTGCGTAGACGTGGGGGCGGTCTATCTGTCTGCTTTTCATGGGAATACAAGATTAAATGAAGCTGCTTTTATTATTTCACTGAAATGACATTTGCCTGCATGTAATTGATCCTTCTTTTGTTTTATGAACATACATAAATGAAACATAATTAGTTTTCCATGCAATAAAGTGATTCTATTTCCAACGTATACATTGCAAAAGTATTTTGTATGTATTATATTAATTAACATATAATCAACAGTCCACTCGAATTCATTTATTCTTTTATTTAACACGAAGCAATATACCTACATAGTTATGTTTCTGAAATGTTTTCGTGTTATGTATGGCAGCAAAATGAATTAACGATAGCTTTGTTGATTTTGTCGCGAGATTAGTTCGAATTTATTTCGTCGACGTTGGCTCGGCTTCAAATACTTTAACAGTTTCCACCCTGTTTATATATTTTCAGCTTTAATTAAAAGAATTCCTTCGTGTACTTTCCATTTTAGCGGGGTTGACAGTAAGAAATTTTAATAAAGCTCATATTTTCTGATAATATTTTAGAGAGGGTTAAGTTTACGTGCATTATGGCTCCAAAATTGATGTTGTGTATAATAACGTTATTTTTGGTATACACGGCACCTATATAGCAGTTCACTCGACAACAAGGGACCCTCAGCAGGAGCGTCACGAATAGCCCCGATTAGCCATTGACCCGACCTAAATAGCACCGAATAAGCCATCGTTTCTGTCGTTAATATCGAACAAGCTCACGATAACAGTTTATACGTTTATTGTAATAAAACATTCCAATTTGTACCTTCTAAGCTTAGCAACGCGATCGCTTCACTCCAAAGTAATTCATGCGTTAATCGTTTAAGTTAATAGGAAGTGGATGGGCTTTATTATAAAGTTGCCCTTTTCGGGTTTCCGTACTCCAATATAAAATATCTTTTCATATTCTTGTTATAAGGAAGGAGTTATGAACAATACAAAAATATATATAACTGCCAGGTTGGGCAATGTAGCTATAATCGGATACATCTGTTTCTAAATTCTTGAGTCCCGAACTAACGCGATTTTGAAACATTGGGCCATAACCTTGATTTTGGAAAATACGGCCCGCTCATTATTTTCCCCTCGCAACAAGCCAATTAACTATCATGGCAGATGCCAGTGTATAAAAGATATATTGTTGCTATGTACACATTTTTATATTAATGTAAGATTCCGAAGTTGTACAAATTGATGCAACATGTTGACGTATTTGCCGATAAAATGTCTAAGAACGTCTGTATATTTCATTCCCGTGGGACCGTATGTTGCTCCATTTATTTCGCATCATGCGAGCGTACTTACATATAACTTGGCAATCTGTAGAAACTTACGAAATTTGCAATAAGGTTTATGTTAGGAAATATCTGTAAAATACTACAAAAGAAATTCACTATAATATCTAACAGACATAATCCTTGTTGATTTAAAGTTCAAAAGCACCGTTGTTAGATATATAAGCCTAGATTTTCTGTGTTGTCAGTAGGTACATCACGTCTGTATCAGTACCCAGTGTGGGTGAGTTTGTCAGACGCTCGCCCACTTATTGGTACACAAAGCCGAAAAGTGGGTGTATTATACACCCTCTGTTTAAAAAAAAACACGTAATATTTCTTTCTAAAAGATATGCCAACAAAAATCGCTTTGTCATTAAAGTACACAGCGAATTACCTTCATCACATCCATTCTACATGAAGGAAAATAAAGTTGTCGGCGAACGAAAGAGGCAAACAAGTCACGATTGATGGTGTGGCTATGAATGAGCTGTGTGCTCAGTGAATGAAATCGATCTGGTGTGAACGAGACACGCTTAGCTGCAGGTGATACACATGTTGAGCATCGCTCGCCGTGCTTTATCGCGCTAACGAACCTTTACATTTTCCACTTTTAATTACGAAATACGTAACGCATTTGTAAACTCTGAAGGAGCTGAGTTACAACGCAATCTTGTTGAAATAATTATGCACTGTGAAGAACCATTATGTTATGGGCATATGTATAGTATGTACCGCAATTTTATGTGTAGCATATACCATTGTAACTTTGCACAAACCTTATTGTTATTCTTGTTATGGACTACAGAGCTTATACGATCTTTTTAAAGATTCTCCTAACAATCTAGCCAGAGAGTCACCATGTATATTTATTTTAATACATTTCTCTTGACTATAGTATCGCTACGGTTTGGGTTTTATGATATACATGATGAAAGGCACTACCTATCTCTCAAAAGTCAAGCTAGATAAATTAGATTGAAGTAACATATTCTTATGCCAACGTGCTTTATACCTTCTCATAATATACGAGTATAGAGAGAATCTTAAATCTATAGAATAGAAAGGATCAACTTCAAAATGAATCGGCGGCGATACGAAAAATTGGATTTCCTTTTGGAAGCATTTTTTGCGTTGTCTACACGGAGCGGGCCAGGTAAATTATTTCAATGGAATTCTTTCTTCAATGAAAAGGAATTTCAGAGATATTTTTGTGCTCTACATAAAATGGTTTTCATATTCAGCGGTGTGCACTTTCTTACTTAGTTACCAGGTACAAAATATGTGCTATATGGCCTCATTTTTATGATCGTGTTATAGAACGTTTACATGTAGCTTTTACGTGCACGAAGTTCAATTAATAAAATTGCGCATATAGGTAGGTTTTGTAGTTCTTGGTAACATATAGAACTGTATTCCAGTAGGTAGCCCTGGTATATGTTCTCCAAAAAGTCTTACACTAAAGTGACTAAATACTCCCAAAATGACCTGACCTTCGAGCTTAAAAGGGATTCGAGCTTCGACAGCGGCGGTGTTAACTTTTAGAACATAATGCTAGGCACCGGCAGGTGATAATACCCCACTAGGGAACCGCTCTGAAACAACATTGCTGGGAAAGTATCGTCTACACGCGCGCGACAATTTGTTCGTTGTGCCGTATGTTTGTGCAGTGTATAGAAATTCAAAATTCAACTAAAGCTAACTGAATATTCAGTACCTCACAGCTATGGACAATTTATTCACGCGTTCTCGAATGTGCACACAAAATAGTTTATGCAAATTGGCTACAAGTTGTGTCAAATCCATGCCCGAGGGACTAGTCTGTTGTATGTTCACGATTGTATTATCAATGCCTACAAACGATTGTTTTTCCTATCTTCGATTAGTCACAGTTTTGGTAAATATTCAACGCCCTCGCTCGTTCGAGGAAGTGCAATTTCCGCCACGTGGTACACAGGAAAAGTCGTTATGGTGATGCCTGAGGAAATCGATCTCGATACCGAGACACATTTCATGAATCGAAAATGATACATGCTCTTCGTGGTCTGAGTTTTACAATTGGAAATTTGAATAAAGATTTCAAGTAGAAACTAAAATTCTTTTTAAAACGTTGCACTAATTGATATTTAAGCAAATGTGTCTCTTGTGGCAGACAACAAAGAAACCATTTTAAAGACGGTAAAACAAAGGTTTCTTCAAAGCAATTTGTTGCAGACATTTTGTCGTTATCGTGTTGTTTTAGACACGGTGCAGATTGTGCACTTATCCCATGGACTATATTGCTAATTGTATTGCTCCCCTCGTCGAAACAGACATAGGACAGGGACGACGGGTTGTTATTAAGCCGATTAACCTCTTGAAGAGACGTGATCACGTAGAAATGTCACGTAGGAACACAGACTTTGATTGATATCCAAATAAACGTGCGTACAAGATTTTCGGTCGTGGTCTGTATTGATTCAATGTTTATTTTTAGTTACTTTATTAAGTTCACTTGAGACTGCGTAAAGAAGCATAAAATGAAGTAGTAAAAGAAGTAAAACCTGAATAATATTTTTGTAAAATACATAGTACTTCTATGTCACTGTTAGATACGGTTAATAAGTAGTTATAATTACTAGTTATTTGTTGCAAGAACTTTATGTCATTGTGTTACCCGAGCTAACAGAAATCTAATAGAATAACCTACGTCTATAAAACATTTATTACCGTCCTACCGAGACCTCAACTGAAACACAAATCAATAGCCTGCTTTACCCGTCTGAAATATTGAACTAAAATAAAATACAACGCATTTGCCAGAACGCGTTAAATATTGATTTAGCCTATGCAAATCCATTCCACTGTCCGTTGTATCACACTATCGATCGTTTTAGCGAATTCGATTACTAGATACACAATTAGAGCACCCACGCGACTCTGCTCGCAATCAAACCGAAAATTATATTACTACATAGAAGATAACGAGTTGTATTATGCATGAACCACCTGACGTTTTAAACTGGGTGTAGCTGAATAAAACAATGTTTATTTTATTCAACCGTCGTTGCAGTAACATTTTTCTGAGCAAAGCCTATTTTATTTTTCAGAAACAAAGCATGAACTGGAAGATCTCATGGCCGACGTTAAGAAAACTGCCAACAAAGTCAGAGGAAAGTTAAAACGTAAGTGCACTGCAACTTAGCCATAGTCTATCCGTACTCCGTAGTCTTTTGTTCTATTTTTGTGGGCGTTTGGAGTTGGAAAACGGCTCTGTATTCTGGTTCAACCAATCCACAGACATAGAGCAGAACATCGAGCAGGAGGAGCACTCGAATAAATCGTCAGCGGATTTGAGGATAAGAAAGACACAGCACTCGACGCTGTCACGCAAGTTCGTGGAGGTGATGACGGAGTACAACCGCACGCAGACCGACTACCGAGATCGCTGCAAGAGCAGGATACAGCGGCAGCTGGAGATCACCGGCCGCGCCACCACCGACGACGAGCTCGAGGAGATGCTGGAGCAGGGCAACTCGGCAGTGTTCACACAGGGGGTCAGTATTTTACTTAGAGTATTCTATTGCCTGAATATCAAACGTTTCTGAATTCTGCATTGGTACAAATGAAAATGCTCTTTCTCACTGTCAAAAACAAAATGTCTGTTTAATTTTTCTCTTATTTCATATTTCCTGGGGAGTATTGTAACTCACGCTCCACGTTCCAAACTTTTGGACCTACTAACCCCTAAAGGATTACCATTGTAACTCTTGCCAAGTTGCAGCACTAAATCAAAACTTGACAAATTGGCTGCGGGAGATACGCGGCACTGCCAAGCCTTTGCGGCACATTCGGAGAACTGTTATTGTGTTAAGAAGGGTATAATTACTCAGGTGTGACGTTATCTGAATATGTGGGGCAGTTACTCACTCCACACGCGACATTTCCGCTCTAAACTAGACAATTAAATTATACAGATTCTTCATACAATTCGTCTGTACTCTTTATGTTATGAATTTAATGTTGTAATCAGTCACAATACTAAACAGATTGGTTATAACGTTTAAAACTAGAGTCCTGTGGCTCATCTATCTTGTATCACACATTCTGCCTCTTCAAACGATTAGTCGAAAGAGATTTTAGGAGTTCGTTGACCATCATGACCGTATTTGGAAGAGTCGAGATTTCGATCAGCGTATTTCTCTTAGTATTTGTCAATTAATTATGAAACCACGATCCCTAACCGACTGTATCAGTTTTCACTTTACGAAATACGAGGTCTTAATTTGTGTAGTGTACCTGCTACAATAAATAACAAATATACATTTACAAATAGTAATGTGCTCTGTAACAAATTGCTAGATCATCGTATGTGAAATTATGAACACGATAGTAATCCATTTCCTTCGAGTATCTTATAGTTTGTCCAGACGGTTCGATTGAGGGCTTGAGGCACGTTAGCCTGTATTGTTACGTCACGAATGTTAATGTACGACTAAGTTTATGAGAATCTATTTATAATTCAACAATCGATAAATTACTATATAAACTAACGCTATAATAACTACACAATTCTCTATAAATCATTTGATATTTCTACAAAATGTCTTGGATTCGTGAATGCTTAATCCATTGTCACTTGATGAACGCGGAATTGTTATTATTTTATGCTGTGATATTTTACATTCTGCCAGCGTTAGCCGTAACTGCATAGCAATTAGCGTTGTCCTCTGATCAGTAATTTAATAATCAATAGCGTGCAATGCAGTAAAATGTTTCGGCTGAAAATACATTTACAAACTCGTGTGACTTTATGTGTATCTATGTTCATGATATAAGCGTCTATATTTAAATTAATAGCTACGGTATGATTTTCCTACAATAATGAGGGCGGCATTTAGATATAGGATCTAAACAACACTTACAATAGATTCGCATTCCTTCTGATACGCGAACATAATGGCTACGACTGTAACGATAATATCAAACCTAACTCAATCAAAACTTCCTTACAATATATTAATTTATCAACACAATTATTAATGGTTTTAATTTTAACGATGATATCATGGAATTAACAAAAAATGAAACTTCCTTGAAGGCTTATTCTGACTTTGTTGATCGGCATTTTCCAGATTATAATGGAGACCCAGCAGGCGAAGCAGACGCTGGCCGACATCGAGGCGCGGCACGCCGACATCATCAAGCTGGAGACTTCCATCCGCGAGCTCCACGACATGTTCATGGACATGGCGATGCTAGTCGAGAGCCAGGTCAAACGCTACACAATGCGTTCTTACTTATTTACCAATTTTCGGGCACAGCGGTTGTTGCAGGCAACAAAAGCTAAGTTTATACCAATACGAGAAGAGGGTGGCTATTTGATTCTTCCTCCTTCCTTTCCTTATTTAATCTGTAAACATGCGGCCAAGCAAGTCTGCCTGCAACAATAACTGAAAATGTTATTAAAAGTTTCCGCGTTAGATCTGATACACTCACAGTCTAGTCCCAAGACGAATGTAGAAAGTAGTTTGGTAGTAGTTCCCTGTAGAGAGACGATACTAACTTGTTCGTATGGATACAGGGAGAGATGATCGACCGCATTGAGTATCATGTAGAACACGCTGTGGACTATGTCCAAACTGCCACACAAGACACTAAGAAGGCCCTAAAATATCAGAGCAAAGCCCGACGGGTGAGTGATCATTTCAATGAAGATTCATTCTTTACTAATTTGTTTTTGTTTTGTTTCTCCCTGTCCCACGTCCGGGTCCCGTCCTCACTCCGACATTACTCCATTTTGTTTCATTGTGTATGATTTGATTCGTTGAACCTGCATTTTGTTAATGATGATACGGTGATTGGTTCACTCGTGTTTGTGTTTTCATTCCTTCCATTAATGTGTCTACACTATGTGCTTTGACTGTTGTGTTCATTCGGCTCAACTAACAAACGGTTGAAGTGGGCTTTCTTACCTAATCTTGTACCTTACTCTGTGTATTACTACTCTATGACTTCATTGGTGTGTGCGTAATTTGCCTTTTGTATATGGTCGTCCTTGTTATATAATAACTGTATATTACTAATCTCTAACATGTTATTATGTAACAACTGTTTGGTGTATCATAAATAAGGAATGTCATAAACTTACAATATAACATACCGTGCAATTACTAGGTTAACACTGAATGTCATTACATTGTAACACGTGTGTCTGTTTGTGCTTTTAGTTTTAAACTTTTATTTAACTTCGTCTATAGGAATTGATACTGTGGCTAATCAACGGGTTTAATACTCCTAATATAACTCTATATAACTACCTATTAACGTTTCGCTGCAGTTCCACTTTGGTCGGCTCCTGTAACACGATATTGACTTTGGGGATTTGTATAAAATCGTATGAACCAATCGTCCGTGGGTGTCGCTAGCCGCGGTACGTTGTCGCGTCCCTCCCCTCCCCGCGCCGTCCCCTTAGCACAGCAGGGCGAGCTCATAGATCGCATCGAGTACCATGTCACGCAAGCCACCGACTACGTCGACTACGGCCGCGTCGAGATACGCAAGGCCGGCGAGTACGCCGCTAAGGCGCGGAAGGTAATGCTACACATACAAACTAAACCTCGGCTCAGCCGCAGCCTGTTACTAAACTGCGAAACCCTACAACGTTTCTACTACTGTACGGATCTTGGGGGTGAGGCGCTACCTAACAGAGACTTCTCAAACAACATTGGGCCACATCTGTAACGTGCTATCGACTGTCGACCACAACTGATTTACTCATTATAATTTTCATTTCCATACTTAAACAACTATTGCATATTTAATGGACAAGATTAATGTCCTATTGAAAATGCATTTCTAAAGCATGCTGCATGAAAGCCTCGAATAATTTTTGATTGGAAAAAGAAACAGACTCAAACGTCTGAAAGAAACATGATTCATTCAAGTTTAATACCAAAATCCCCTCTAACTCAGTCTGTAAGAAATTATCTTGAAGTTGGTTTTGCACTTTATGCATTTTGTTAACGATTTAATATACATCTGAATTGCATGTGAATCATACATCTAAGTACCAGTCAGATAATGTTTATAAAAGTGACTGACTGCACGGTTTCGGGTGCACAATTGACTGAATTAATATAAAATATAAACAATTATGTAAAATAGCTTTCAACGTAACTCATTTTCATGACAAAATATGCTGAAACTATCAATTCATTAACTCTTCAATTCCTATAACATGTTTAATTAAATCAAACATGGGAATTGGAAAGTCGGTTTTCTTCATTCCTATACAGAATTTAATAATATAAAAAAATAGTTTCTGTACTTTTTGCAGGAGAGAATATTTATGTTTACTAGACATGCAGTTATAATAGTTTTCGTGTGTAAAAACACTGATATTTAACATGCATTTAGGCCGCATGAAATGTTATGTAATGGAATGAAGGAACTTGCATTGCATAAATCTAGTTCACAGCTTACTGCCTTCTTTTGTACCATAGAGACTTGGTGTCGCAAACAAGGTCGAATACGTTTTTTTTTACTACAAGCCTTCATAGAGGTTTTAAGTAGTTCTATTTAGCCTTCATTACAGCCAGCATTGTTTTCAAATTCAAGTTTAGAATCATGTCGTATCCGGCCTTGCGTCGTGTTGGTGGCGGCATATGTGTGTAGTGTTGTCACTTGCTTCCGGTGTTGATAGCAATTTTATATACGAAACATGAGTCGGCTAGTTCTCAGTGAATCAATATGTAACATAGCTACATTAAACAAGTGATTTCCGTTCTATATTAGAAAAACAAGTCACTATTTTTTTTTCTAAGGAAAAATATGCAATCAGTATGACAAGTTTTCAAGGTTCCATTAAATGTTCTTGATAATAAATATTACCTCAATTTGTTAAGGAAAATCTAATTTTAGGATGTCATAAATATTACTAATAAAATACATACAAATAGAGGACACATATGAGTCCATGCACCTCGTAATTTTTATTATTATTTTATTAAATAGACAAATAAAATGTATTATTGTATTGCTAACTATAGTTTCGACCTCCTTGTAAGACTTATTTCACTGTAAGTCTAGCCGATTTATGTTTTGTTGATATGTTGGTTGTTTGTTTCATATTTTGCAACTTACACTAAAATGTAAATCAACCAAATGATGTAAGTATCGCCATCTAAGTCAGTAATGTTATCATTGTAATTTTACTACCTAGCATGATATAAAGAAAATTATTATTTGACACAAACTCATAAAAAAAAAATCGACAACCTTTTTTCTTAGTTATAACTTTAGCAGTTTGAATTTTCAATCTAATTATAATTAACTGAAGATCCAAAGTTGTCGATTCACTTGGTATAATATTCATAGCAGCGATTTTATTTTGTTTTTCTTTTGTTTTTTATCATTACAGAAAAAAATCTTCATCATAATATGCCTGTCTGTTACGCTGGTTATATTAATAATAGTGCTCGCGATTGCCCTGAGTTAAACTTCGTGCGAAGACAACCGGCTTGTGACGTCACCACTGTCGGACCTCCATGGACTAAGTGAAAGAATTCAGTTGGTTTGTGACCACATACATCCAACATTGATATTCGTTTGTATACCATTGAGTCAAATGTAGACCCTAGCTACATTAAATACGATAATATTATCTGAATATATTTGCTTGATTATTTAAACACAGCAAGAATTGTTGTTGTAATTGTCACAACAGACATGCATGGATGTAGCAAGTGCATTGTGTTTTAAGATTTATCAAAAAGGCTGTATTATGATATTAATTAGATTATTTCTGCTTAATTAATTAATCTAGTTTATGTGCTGTACACAATCATTATATTACGACTATATTCAATTATTAAAGAGTACATTTGCGCTATGAGAAGACATAGAGACAAGCGTACGCAGCGCCATCTACAAGGTGCTATTCAATAAAAGTTTGTAACACAGCCTTTTTGAGTACTTGAGCACCGTTGTATAATTTGATAATATAACTAAACTGGATTATAATTGTTTTGCCGTCAACTACGGTAAAGTTCGAAGACAATATGTGTAAAGTGCAATAATATAGATTGTGCTTTAGATTTGTAAGTTATTTAATATTAATATTAGCTTTACTGGTATTACCAGGCTGTCTTATATCATATAAACATATTTAATATTAATGAATGTATATAAGTATACAACTCATAAATATATTAGTCAAAACATCACAGTACCTATACAGGGCACTATTATTGAAGTACACAAATGTTTCTATTCGACTTCTTTCTGCCCTATTACTATTAGCTACACTGAAATAAATATATTAATTATTATATTACTAAATATTTACTAGCTTTACGCGGTTTGTTAACTACTTATTAAAGTTTATTTATGCAGTTCGTTGGTGAATTTATAATAGCTTTTTTCTCTATATTCTTGTAAAGCCATTTGCCCGCAGATTATAAATAATCTTTAAATTTAAACACGTAAAAGTTATAATCGCACAAAGGTTTTGACAATTTATAATGGTACAAGATACAAGAACAGGAGTTAAGGACAGACATACTGAGTCCTCAACAAGTCAATATCAAAGATATAGTGACCAGTATTTTACCTAGTTTAAGTTCATATACTTTTAACTTCTTAGTATTCGTTGAGGCTTCTGTCTACATTATTTATTTCACTACAATTAGTGAATCTTACTTGATATGTTTCAAATGATACTTGTAAAGTATTGTTTAGGTGATCTGTTCGTTGTTATGTACAGTGTGTGATGTTGAATTCTCTCTTTCAATTGTTACAAACAAATTAGGTTCTCTTTTTGTTTATTTATATCTGTATTACAATTGTTGTGTGTTCAGTCTTACTGGAATGTTCTTTCCGGACAGTGAATATGGCACCCATTTACTGTTTTACATGTAATAACGTTTTTGCATTTATTAATAGCATTTTGATGATATTTTCACAAATTGAACATATACCTCTAGTTTATTTAATACGTTGTTGCACTTATTAAGTCGTGTGTTATACTTATGTAGCACAATGATATAACTGTGATTAAATTGTACTATTCGTTTAATTGAAAGTGTAACTGTCTTAGCTCAACTTTGCCCGTATATTTCACTTAGCTTGCGCACTTATTTATTTAATTAAAAGACTGTGAAATATAATTTAATGCCATTTTCATAATTATTATTGATGATTAATTACTTAATTATGTTGAGACCTTAATAGAAGTTATGTTTTATTTCTTAATACTATATCATAAGTAATAGATTAACGCCCCTCCATCAAACAGCGTGTTACAAAGTTGTTTATTAATTCTAATCTTAAAACTACTCATGTTGTAAATATGTTTATAATTTCGAAAATTACATTTATATTTATTATTTCAATTTTTATTTTATTTTTGTTTTAACACCTTATTTACTTTGTATAACATTGTGCAAGGCAAATGACGCACCCACCTGACTGTACGAAGGAAGCCAATGACTACATAGTGCAGTATTAATGTGATATGTATGGTAATGCTATGTATAAGAGTGCAAGCGGCCGGTGCCGCGAGCCACGTATAAAGCGTACTGTTGCATGGTCGGCCCTCACATTCGCGGGCTACAGAAGAAGATCATGATCCTAGTGTGCCTGCTCATACTGGGCATCGTCATCGTGGGCTACGTGTCCAGCTATTTGGTTTGAGCGGCCACTCTCGTACTTCGATCGCCAAATGCTCAAAGGTAACCGTAAGTGCGGGCGAGCGAGCGGGTCCGCCCGCGTCGCTCGCCGTCCCCGCTAGTACTAATGTGTGTTGTGTTTGTCCACTGTGCAGAAGAAGATAATGATAATGCTGTGTCTGCTCGTGCTCGGCCTCATTGCGACTGGCTACGTGTATAACACATTCTTCTAAACGGGGCACGGGGGCAGGTTTGATGCGCAACATTTAACTGGGCTTTATAGACCGCATCCCTAGTTAGACTTTACGAGACTTGAGTAGATTATATCATTCGATAAAGCCATGCTTTATTATTTAGACGCCGATCTGATCGATCTGCCATTTATTGGACACTACAAAAGTATATTACATAATTATAGACATTGGGGTTTGAAATTTGCATGAGTCGGTTGCATACTAATATTTGATTAGGAATAATATTGTACTCTTATATTCTAGAATATTAATTATTTATATTTTGCTACTCGGAATATTGAGCGTTATATTTGCTGTAAGTTAAGTATTTGCTATTAGTTCAGGATATAATGACGACCCAATAATGTGCAATTTTATAGGATACAAAATTATTACACTATTCAAAATTATTCAATATGACACCGCAAATTTTTCCGATTTATGTATATCCTAAATTATATAAATATAATATCCTGAAGTTGCCTGACCGCTTATTTTATTTACTTTAATTACTTACGATTTAATCAAGTTTTCTATTTTATAATCCAGCACTTCTTTATATTTTCGCACCTTGTATTGTTTTGATGTTTTTACTCCTACCTAGGTTTTCATTACATTTTTTTCTCTACTCTATCAATAGGTTGATTCACTTCATTTAAATTTCTTTAGGTGTCATATAATGCTACATCTCAAATATCATACAACGCACATTACTTTACAGAAATATAATTGCAGCAATTGTCGCTGTTTTTGAAAGAAACTCATATGAAACTATGTAGAAATAGTCTCCAAAGACAAATTACAAATGTTTCTACAAATAAAGAAAAGCGACAATTGCTATTTTTCATTCAAAATTCAAGGTTTCTATAGACCTTAGGTCGTCTATAACCATCTTATAAAATATTTCTAGCAAACATAAATTAGGTCCATGTAAACCATATTTATGGGAATATCATTCATGTTTTTTACCACAATATCTGTAGCAATAATAGGTATTTTATTAATTAGTAAATCAAGTAACAGTTTGCGATAATCCAGGACGAACACGTAAAGAAGTTATATGTACCACACGACTGCAGACAAACCTCATTTAACTGTTGATTTAATTAACTCTTTCCTGAGATTATCGCTTTCCGTTTTCAATGTAAGGCTTAATATTTAGAGCTCTAGTAAATAATGTTTTTATAAATTTCCAGGACCGTCATTGCAAAGAAAAATCGTCGCGCATACTTCGGTGCCTGCATCCCGCCTGGCAACAGTCAACATTCTGCAACAGAGCGAATCATCAACACGTATCGACACCTCTTATTTGTTGTTAGAAGTTCGTCTGTAACATTCAAACTATATTCAATTACTAATCATCTGAGATACGTCATAGAAACATTAATGTTTGATGTTATCGTCGGTAGTAACTATATATACATACTGGCCGTAACCACACCATTGCCGCTGGCTCTAATACGTATATGTTTCGATAGCGTTCACACAAAAACTACTGTTTGTTTATGAAAATTATACTAATAGTTTAGTGCGCAATAATCAATGAATATACATATGTTAGTTATACGTACATTATATACTTAGTATCTACACGCATAACAGTATTTAGACTTTTAATAATCTCGGTTTCCACTATAATATTCCTCACTATTCATATATATCTTGAAGTATATAATGATTAGCCAGTGAAAATCTGGACCGAGTAATGAACTTGTTTTTATAAACATCACTAAATGGTTGCCTAGACGCCATAGCGTGAATATAGTTTGTATTTATAAGTAAAGTGATACAAAGATTTGACAGATACCATCATTCATGTAATCGTTAAGTCTCAAATAATTTCTGTTTAATCGTGAATAGTTAACCTCGTTGATAGGTTAGAGGAAAGGTGGAGAGTAACGCCCGCGCACCCCCAGCTAGTGATTGGCACATTGTGACGCGAGGACGGGACGTGGCATATAATGATGTAGAGGGCGACACCGGGCAGGGGGCAGGGGCTGGGTGCGCGGGGTGGTGCGATATCGTTAGGTTCTACCTCACCATTAGAAGCGCGCGGCCGACATGTGTCAGGTAGTCAGTCAGTCAGTCAGTGGTCAGTTAACTGGTCAGCTAGTCAATCGGTCGGTCAGTCAGTGAATCAGTCAGTCGAGGTCAGTGTCGGGCCGCTCGCGCACTGCATATCGCGCCGGCGTGCCGTCGCCGTAGCAATAATAAAGTTCGATTACAATTGTAAAATTGTTTAAAACTTTCGAATGTGTGATAGTAGATGCAGTTGTTGTTTAGTTAACTTTATAATAATAATGAATTGTTATTGTGAATGTAACTTTTAATAAACAGTAAGAGTACTTTGAACTTTTCAAATAATACATAGTATAAACGACTCATTGAAATTTTTGGCGCTTTTCGATCAAATTTATAGTTGAGTGATTATAAACTTTAATTTGATACATTTTAAGACGCTCTTCGTTGTACAGTAATACATAATGTAGCTGTTTTAGCTAGGGTAACTTTTTTAATAAATTTGAAGTAAAGGATCTTCAGCAATATATGAATAGTTATTGAACAGTATTTTCCGTTTGTAATAATATATTGTAGAGTCACTCGAAAATTTAAGCACCAACATAATATATTAGCATTTTCCTATAAGAGAATAACGTTATAATTAAACGATTATCGCGAAGGATTATTATGTAGTCGTATAATATTATGCATATTGTTGTTGTGTGGAGGAGCGGCCCGCGAGAGACAACGGCACTAATCCCCGCCCGCCTCGCGGCCGCTCTCCTCTCTGCAGTTCATTACTTAAGAACATGAAGCAATGTTAATTTTAACATTTATAGCATAATTAGATTTTTATCCTTAAGAGTAGGATTTCATCTAGTTGCCTTCGTAACAGTAGAGAAATTAGGTGATACCTTTTCTCTGAGTAGCTTCATTAAATCGATGGAGGTCAGCCGCGTCTCTCCACTAGCCAGTCAATTGTCGCTTGTCTTCCCGCGCAGTGCCGCGGGCACGCGCTGACTCCGCTAGTCGCATCTCATGCTAGGTAAGTAAGGAACCGGTACCTGACACCAATGTAACGTTAGTAGTGCGCGTGCGCCGCCGTCCGCCCCGGGAACATTCGCACAAGTACTAGCGACCGCGGCGCGCTCCGCCATTCGCCTCGGACCGCGAAGCGTTCCGCTCGCTGCTCGCTGCTCGCTCGATCGGAACTCTTCCGATCCAATCCTAATTTGTATGATATAAATCGTTAGAGTAGGTATAACCGAACTTCTAGTCAGCTTTTAATAATCTCTATTATTCTTATAATATCAATCGTAATATTGCAATTGTATCTTCTGTTACTAGTGTACATATAAGTGATGTTCTCGTGTTCAAGTACGGGCCGCGGGCCTGCTCGTTGGCGGGACGCGACACCTGTGCGGTCTTACAAACTCAATATTATCGTAAAGCATAGATATTTTCATAATCAATAGTATGCATATTGTTGATTGGATTGCTAATTTTGTATAAGTACGTACACAATTAGTATAGTTTATATACTTATGTGTCAATTCTCATAGCGTTTTATTACATAACAGACGATAGCTAGTAAGTGTTAAACGTAATCCAAAATGATTGCAGTGCTGTTCATTAAGCTTATTCGACTTTTTATGTTGTTTTTAATGAATAATGTTTTATTAAACTTGTATTCTTCAATCTTGAATGTGTATGTAATTGTATCACAGTTGAATAACAACGGTATATAAACAATAGTACATTTCGGATCTAATTCATTGAGAACCCGTAGCTCTGTAAATTAATACCTAACTTCACGGATCAAAGTAATGCTTGGTAAGAATTTGTAAAACAACGAACATTTTGAAATGTAATTTTAGGATCCCAGTGATGAATGCAAACTTTGAGAAAACAATTTTCTATCGCCTAAAGTCTTCAACATTTTTCCTAAATAGTTACTAATGTTATTTAACGACAGAGTTGTATATCGTCTGTGTCATGTGAATATTCTTCCTGAAAATCATTAGATATTCTTATAAATAAAGGGTACCTTCGTAAGCGAGTGTCTACCGGCAACAGTTAGCTCAGCGAAGTAGGTAACGAGCCTGTTACTTATGTATCTGTTCAGCTAAAGTAATTATTAAGGACTTTCACCGACACTGTGTACTCAAAGTATACATGAAACAGTATCATGATCTGCTTATATCGTGCAAGCAATTACACTGTCTCACTTCCTCAGGGAGGGAGAGCAGCTATTTACTTAGAGCTAGTTTGATATGTTGCGATCTGCCGGTAGAGGCTTGAGGTGCCCGTGTATAATGATGCGGAACAACGCGCCCTGAGGAGGGGCGTCACTCAAACTAATATTCTACAAATTATATTGTTTATCAGTAGAGTCGCTAGACTTCAATTTGTAGTTAAATGTTCGTAATTATCAAATTTCCACAATTGTGCTTTATTCTTTCTGACTCTTTGATGTTGCTTGGCGTTGAATGATGTGAAACATTATTATAATATTATATTAGAGTTTATAATTTATTTTAAATCATGTTATTTTTATAATTTAGTTTAGACAAATGTTAAAATAGTTTAGTACCGTTTTACGGATGTTTCTTGTACCTATATAAGTATTTCAGAATTTATATTAAAGTTGTATTTATTCCCTACGACAAATTGTCTCGTAATCTTCTTGTAAAGGAACACTGAATACCTAAATCATTGTTATACTTACAAAATCTTGTATTACGAATATTACAGTGAGATTCTGGACACATGTAAAATTCAAGTTAGATTGGTTTTATAGTCATATTATATTCTGTATGTAGGTTATCAATCTGAAATTCTCTCATAATTATAAAATAAACGGTGTTTTCTGCTGTACCTGCCTGTAGTTTTATTTATGGTTTAGTTGTTATGATTTATTCACTCCCCTGACAGGTGCAACTGCAAAAGGGTTGCAATTATGCGCCTTGTTTCGTTATCCGAAATTGTAAGTGGATAGGGGATGCGATGTATTTATACTAAAATACATCTCATTCTCTATTCACTGCATTCAATCCATGAGAGGTGATGCATCTCTCATCGCCACTATTGGAAGGGTATATTTATATAATTTACTTTAGCTTATACGTTGATGGCGTGGTCGATGGTCCCGATCTGTCCGGCTCGACTGCACGGTTAGCGCTGTAGTTGGGCAATCGGTTGCTGCGCTACGTGTAGCGGGTTCGATTCCTGCACGCATGGAGCAACTCTGTGTGTGATTCACAAATTGTTATTTCTGGTCTTTTACATACACGTCACACCCTGACGTGTATGTAAAATTGTGTATTTGTAAAAACACCCACGACATGATGTAGGTAAGTACCTACATTAATTAATTGTTGCATTACTTCTTTAGACTGCATGATAGGCGCATTGAGTGAACGACCAGTTATTCTACGTATTGTGAATAACACTCAATCGTGTTTTTTATAAAAATACGTTTTCTATAAAAAAAAACCGGTCCCGAGATGGCGCAAATGTAGCAAGAAATTTTATGCCCAATCACTGCAGATCAAATATTGTAGTGTGACATTTACTAATTCCCTATTTGACGAAAAACTGGAGGCTGGAGGAGGATACACTAGCGCCAACTGGTGAACAAAAATACGGTAGCCCCCATTCAGGGACTAGGTGGGAGTGACCTTGCAGAAGTGGGTCCCTTTCTATGAAGGTATAAGTATCAAGATTATTCTTATTAAAGGTAGAGAGATCAGTGATTTTTCAGATAATTATTAAAAGTGGATATTGGGTATTTATCGATTTTTTCGGATAAATACTCAAGTGAAATTGGATAATTACTCAGTATTTATTAATTTTGAGTGTTTATCCAAAAAATCACCCACTTATTTATTGAAAGTAATTGAAAATAAAATAACTTGGCCAAGTTTCACACCTCTAACTTGGCCACTTGTCTATGCTTTTATTAACTTTAGTCTATGGCTCTAGGCAAATGTGTTTGATTGAAACTGTCAAACAAACGAACTTTCATGTGTCAATGTCACCAATGAATGCCAATGATTGCTTTACTTGTTGTATCGTGTGATTGCAAGTTGTAAACTTAGCTTGATTGTGATTTTTAAATAGAAAACTGTAGAAATAACTTGTTAATATGAATGCCCCACCAACATTCGAATCATTTCTTTTATACGATGGAGAAAAAAAGTAAGCACAATATTATGTATAATGTACTTGACGATTTACTATTAAATATTGATGTATTGTATTTTAAAATCACAACAATTTTAGGGTCCAGAAGGAAGAAGACACAAAGGTGACAAATGCAGCTATATTTACAGTAAACAAGGAAGATCATACACTTGGAAACATGATCAGGCAGTATGTATTAACCATACAAAAATTTGTTTATCATACAGACATCAGTTCGAGATTCATATTATTATATACTTTTTATTTGTTTTGCAGTCAACTCCTAAAGGACCCAAAAGTCTTATTTGCGGGTTACAAGGTACCTCATCCACTGGAACATAAGTTTGTGTTGCGCATCCAAACAACTTCAGACTATACTCCCCAGGAAGCTTTCATGAATGCTATTACAGACTTAACCTCTGAACTATCACTGTTTGAAGAAAGATTTAAGGTGAATATTAATTTCCAGCTTATTTTCGTCCATCATTGGATATTGGCCTTTCCAATTAGCATGCTGCTATATTTAATTTTAATACTATCTGTAATATTGATAATAACATCACACTTACCATAATTATGGTAAAGAAATGCTTCACACATTATATCGAGGGGTAACGGACTATTTGGTTTAAGCGACATTTTGGCGATATTGAGTTATTGTATATATTCGACGGAGAAAAATTCGATTATTCCGAATATATATATATATAACTCAATATCAACCAAAATGTCGCTTAAACCAAATAGTCCGTTACCCCTCGATATAATTTGTCTGGACCTTAAAATCCTGGTATGCTGGGGACGTATATGCGAGACACATTGTGTTTTCTATTGTATCTCATATGCTGACAGATAAGGGGTTAAAAGAGACAATGACTGCTAAGTATGTTTCTGTGTTTCGTCTCAGAATAGTCAGAATGCCAGCCTTTATCTATTAATTTAACTCTTTGAGTACCATCATTATAGACACAATTAAAGAACAATAGGTTGCAGTCACCGGTTTCCTCGCGGTGTTTGACAGTTTAAAGATTGATATGTAAAAGTTACTTTGTAACCTTTTTATAGAAAAAAAAATATCAATGTAATTTCAAAAATGCAATTTCAATGGGCAGCCGAAATTGGTGAAAACTTGTTCATATTAATGGAGTATATATAAATTTGGAGAACTTTGGTTTGTATTGTTTACTAGATTACTAAATGTTCTAATGCTTGTTTCAGGAAGCCATAAAGGAGAAGAAAGAAGGGTTAGATTAAATTCAATTATAAGTTTTAGATAAGATTTCGAATAAGTAATATTTGTAATAATGAAATAAAATATTGAATAATCAAAATGTGTTTCACTTAGCTAGCTAGCTTAGTTTTTAGGGAATCTAAATCAACAAATATTTCATACTAGCTTCTGCCAGCGGTTTCGCCCGCGATCCCAGGGGTAAAATGCCTATGTATCACTTCAGACCATAATCTACCTCTGTTCCGAATTTCATTCCGGTCCCTTCAGTCGTTTTAATATGACTGAGTAACAAACATACACATAAACTCACATATTTTCATTTATAATAGCGAATCACAACCATTGGCGTTTCGGTTACAGCGTAAAGTCTATGAATGAGTATTGTAAACGTTAGAGTAGACAAATACAATCAGAAATCACCGAATTGCTAAGCTATCGGGAGTTTCACGTGTTATTGTGAGTCAACCATAAAAGATAGACATATGCTGTCGAGGAATATTTTTTATATAATTTTAAGGAGAATATTTCCGTCGTACATGATTTCTATGTGGCTTTAACCTATAAGCCTGCACACGCGACGGAAGCTTAAAAAATGGAGTAACTTCTCCCGTTTTCCCAATATTTCCCTCACTGCTCTGCTCCTTTTGATCGTAGCGTAATGAAAAGTATACTATAACCTGCCCAAGAGTATGAAGAATAATTGTGCCAAATTTCGTTAAAATCCGTCGAGTAGTTTTTGTTTCCATAACGAACATACAGACAGACAGACAAAAATTTTACAGATTGCATTTTTGGCATCAGTAGCGATCCCTAACCACCCCGTGATAGTTATTTTTTAAATATATTTTATGTACAGAATTGACCTCTCTACAGATTTATTATAAGTATAGATTAAATTTAATAATAATTATCTTTTTAGTCTACTTTACAGCTTCATCCAAATTATTCATTATAATGCAGAGAACTTTAACAATGGGGTATTTAGAGAAATAAAACAACAGAATAATTAAAATTTAATTTATTGTTATAAAACTGTTATATTTTGGTGTTCATTTAATTATTTAAAAAATTAAATAGGTTGCAATAGCGTTATTGTAGAATCATGATTGTGATGTAAGACCAATTTGTGCCATAAAAGATCATTTCTCAATATGCATTACACCAGATAATGCATAAGAAAAGTTGATTACCATTCACCTAATTATGAAAAATATAACATGCAATGATTCTCTTAGTGATATAAAAGATCAAGGGTACTTATTTACAAATATTTTCCTAAAATATTAACTATAAAACAAGTGATACCATACCAATGGTAAACAATAATAAATAATAGCCAACTAAAACATGTAACAACAATAACGGTAACATTAAAACTAATCCGTCAATAAATAGGCAAATTAGAAAGTTTCCTCTTCATCACAGTTCTCTGTTGCGTGGCCGAATACTGGAAACATAAAGACTCGTTCACTATGTGGACACTTGTCCCGTTAGTAAACTTAAACTAAACATTTCATTAGTAATTACTAACAAGTAAGTTCTCTACTCTCTTAATCAAGTTAGTAGTTAGATCAAATTCCTAAAGACTTCAGACACTATTGGACTTAAAAAAGGTAATATCAATTCATATATGATTGAAGTACAGGTGCATTTAAATTGATTTTCATAATATTTGTTTGACTGGTGAAAGTTACCTTCACAAATATCGCAGTAGGGTCGCGGCGGCGGTGCGGCGCGGCGGTTGGTGGGCGGCGGAGGTGCGTCCGGCTCGCCGGCCTGCTTGGGGCAGTCCTCCGTGTCGTGTGCGTCGAACACGTCACAGATGTCACAGAACAACCGCGGGGCCACAGCGCGTGCCTTACGCCCGTTACTACAATTAAAGCATTGCATTTTAATTTTTAATTATGAATGTTTTTCCTTCTGCCTGTCTGACTGCCTCGTTGACCGAGTGGTCGCAAGTGCGAGTGCCGGGCAAGGGGTCTCAGGTTCGATTCCCGGGTAGGATAAAGAATTACTGCGTTTTTAAAAAATATCTCAGTAGTATCACGGAGTCTGGAATTGTGCCCGGTATATGGCAATAGGCTCACCCCCTATTACGTGGGACTCATAACATAAATAGTGAAAAGTGGGTGTTACTTTTGTGTGCACCTCTGCCTACACCCTCGGGGATAATAGGCATGATGTTATGTTATGTTTTTCCTTCCTTCTGCTTAGTACAAAATTGAAAAAAATTTAAATAGCCGAGCTTAATATCCGTCAGTTTTTGTTTTAGGCAGGATAAAGTATGTTTAATTATGTACCTATTTTATGAATATTGTGTGTCTACTAAAGGTAAAGTGCTATTGAACTACGTTACACTATACTTACAAAAGCACGCGGGCCTGCGGACGGCGAGCATGGGTGGCTCCCCGTCCGACCAGAAACAGACCCGAGCGTACGGCGCGTCGCGTTCCGCGCGCCCCTCAAAGAGCCATCAGACCACCACAGATGGGGCCCAATAGGGCCGATGCCGATTCGGAGACGCGGAGAACCTAACGGGTAACCGGGGCTCCGGCTCGACGTGCAGGAGAAGGAACGGGGTGGGTTTTAGTCAGTAAGAGTCTGACACTCCCTCCCGCCGCACCCAGGCGGGAGCAGTCATTCGATGACTTTCCCCCCTTAAAAAAAATAAAATAAAAATACTTACAAAAGCACAGGTTCGCTGACAACAGTTCCGCCCTCAAGGGCCTGCACTCTTGCCATGAGCTGCTCGTTCTTTCGCTGCATGTCCACTATCACAGAGTTGAGGAAGCTCACTTGGCCATCAATCATCTCCTTGTCGTCCGTAACCCTGAAAAAATGTAACGATTTAGAGTTCCAACCCAAAACTTGGCGATATAGTCCGTAGTCATTCCCACTTATTTGAAAACTAGCTTTTACCCGCGGCTTCGCTCGCGTCACAAAAGGATTAAATATGTGACATATACCAATACATACAGCACCATCTATACCAATACTTTTGTTTTCCCTCGGGAATATCAAATTTTTCCGGGATAAAAAGTACCCTATTATTTAATACAGACTTCTAACTTTACGTCTGCAAAATTTCAAAGCAATCGGTCTAGTAGTTACGGCGTGAAAGCGGAACAAACAAACAAACAAACTCACTTTCCCATTTATAATAGTAAGGATACACGATCCTGGTACTTACTTCTCAGAAGCTGAATCGCCTTGTCCTAATACACCCATCGCACTGTTGTCATTGTTATCACGTATGTCTTTGCCCTTAGCTGCCATCTCTTTTTGCAGAAGAAGCTTTTCGCGCTCTACAATTTCTACTTTGGCTTTGTTGTTCTGAAAAGAAAACAATATAACATAACATCACGCCTTTTATCCCCGAGGGGGTAGGCAGAGGTGCACATTATACCACTGTACAATGTAACACCCACTTTTCACTATTTATATTATGAGTCCCATGTAATAAGGGGTGAGCCTATTGCTATATACCGGGCACAATTCCAGACTGCGTGCCGTTAAATTCTCCGTAGTAACTGAGAATATTTAAAACAACCCTGTAATACTTTGCCCGACCCGGGAATCGAACCCGAGACCTTGCCGGCAGTCGCACTTACGACAACTCGGCCAACGAGGCAGTAAATAGAAAACAAATCTATTTCGACCAAATCATGTCTAATATTTATCTATGTAGGTACCTAACTTTACGCCACTTACCTTAACTTCTTCTTGCAATTTGCCAATCATATCTTCCTTCAGTCTCAATTCTTTAACTTTATTCTCTATATCAGCTTTAAGATTCTTGACTAAAGTCTCACTCTTAGCTACCGTCTCAGTAGAAGACTGTTTAGCTAATTGTAGTTCTACCGTTAATTTCTCTAATTGTTTGTCCTTCTCAACATCACTACTTTGCTGAACAGCTACTAATTCTATTTTCTGTGTCAGTTCTAATATTTTATTCTCAGCATCTGTTAATTTCTTTTGCAATTGATTTTGTTTTTCTATTTCAGCTGCTACTTTTTCTTTGGATTCTTTTAATTCTTTTTCGTAATCGCCTATTGTATTCCTCAGGTCGTGTCTTGCGCGCTTGCTTTCCTTCTTGTGTTCATCAAACTGCGCTTGTAGCTGCTTGTTCAAGTCCTCGTAGTTCAATTTCTGCGCTTCGTTGATGTTCGTTAGCTGTTTGATATCTTGTTCCGACTTTTCTACAAGGTTCTGTAGTTCTGCTAGTTTTTCTTTTGTCTGTTTTAGGTCTTCGAGCTCCTTATCCTTTTCAGTCAACTGAGACTGTAAAGTTTTTGTAGTATTGCTAAGAGATTCAACTTCGGTTTTGTATGTTTCGTTTAATTTTGCATTTTCTTGTTGAAGTTGAGCGACTAGTTGTTGACTTTCGCTAGATCCTAATTGTAAGGCCTCATTCATCTTGGTTACCTGTGATTCTTTCTCTTGAATAGCAATCTCTTTACTAGACAGCTCTTGCTTTAACTGCGCTAAATCTGCTTCTAACTTATTTATTGTTTGTAGATCAGTCTCATGTTTTTCGTTTTGAGATTTCAGTAAGTTGTCCTTTTCATCCAAAGATTTCTTTAGATCACTACTAACAGTTTCGTTCTCATTCATTTTACTAACTACATCTTCATAGTTTTTCTTTAAAGCTGTTAATTCTGACAGCGTTTCAGTATACTTCGATTCCAAAGAAGTCTTTTCTTGGGTTAGTACGGACGTTTCTTTTTTGAGAACCTCAAGCTGGTTCAGCTGTTCCTTCAGAATACTTTCTTCCGCTGAAGAGTTTGCAATTAGATTCTCGTATTTTTGTTTTAATGAGGAAGTTTCTAAAGTAGCTGCATTTAACTTTTCTTCTAATTGTTTCTTATTTTCAGTTGCCTTGTTTAGTTCTTCGTTCACTAAAGCTATTTGACGATCTTTTTCAGTAACAATTTCCACATTGGACTTCAAATCAACCTCCAGCATTTCGAGCTTTAGGCTGAGATCCTTAATATTGTTCTGTTTTTCTTCTAGAAGTTCTTTTAAGTGTGTTTCTTCCGACCTTAATTTGTTGGCTTCGTCGGAAACAGTGCTTAAATTAGTTTGGAGTTGGGTTATTTCCTTTTCAAATTGTAATTTTTGATTATTTAACTGAGCAGTCATATCATCTAAAATCTTCTGTAAACTGTCTTCGTGCTTTCTTGCTTCTTCAAGTTTGTTGTTCAAGTCATTTTGCGCTTCAGTCAATTGATCTACTTTCTCCATAAGTTTAACTTCAGACGTAGCACCATCAGCTTTTAATATAGATATTTCTTCTTTATACCTATCTATATCTACTTCTAGTTTCTTACAGATAGACTCATGTTCACTATTCTGTTCACGTTCTTTAACCTTAAGTGCTTCTATCTCGTTTTTGAAGATAGTGTTCTCATCGAGGAGTTTGTCGTTGTCTGCTTGAAGACTCCTCAAACAGTTATTGATTTCTAAAGTGTGGGCTTCTAATTCTTTGATCTTACCGTCTGCTTCTTTTAGTTTTTCTAAGTTATCATTTACGGAGCCAACTAACTGTCCACGTTCGACAGAGAAGTCTTCTTGAATCTTGAACAACTTTTGTTTCAATTCTTGTTCATTTCGTGCATGGTTATTCACAACCTCTCTATTCTTGTCCTTCAACTCTTGCAATTCTTTTTCAGTCTCCTTCAGATGTTGGGACAACTTATTGAATTGCTCATTAGAATCAGTTGTTTGACCAGTCAGATTCATATATTCTTCCTCGATTTTATCCTTTGCTTTTTGTAACTCTGCACATTTCTCGTTGGCGCTTTCATACTGTCGTTTGTATTCACCAACTTCTAATTCCATTGCTGACATTTTAGCTTTGAGATCATTGTTAGCTTGAGTCAAATCGTTAATGGTTTGTTTTAATTTTTCGTTTTCTTCTTTGAGAACCTTCAGTTCGTCCACGTTTAAGATGAACTGAGAATTTAATGCTTCGAGTTCTACCTTACTTTGATCCAAAGTAAGTTTATGGCTTTCAATTTCCTTCAGAAGTTCTTCTATTTTAGTGTTACGATCGTCAATCTCTTTCTTATGTTCTTCAGCTATTTTGCTATGTTTGATGTTGAAATTAGCTGTTGTTTGTTCGAAGTCATCTTTTAGTTTTATAATTTCCTTGTCGCGTTCGTGAATAGTTTGTTTGTATTCACTGACAAGCTTCTCTGAGGAACTTGTGGATGTGCTTAGTTCAGCTAGTAGTTTTTCGTACTCCTTGGTCTTCGCAGACAAACTTTGTTGTAACTCCAACATATCTGTTTTGTTCTTCTCATGTTGTTGCGAGACTTCACTTAACAAGGTTTCATATTCATTGACTTTGCTATTGTATTCATCTTTAACACGGCCCAATTCTTCCTGTAACGATTTGAATATTGTTTCTTGTTTCCTCTTCGAGTCTTCAAGTTGTTCTAAATCTAATACTTTAGCACTAAGTTCCATTTTTAGTTTTGTAATTTCTTTGTTTAGGTTGACTTCGTGTTCCTTGCTCACGCCAACAACTGAAATATCATTGAAAAGAGTACAATTATTAGACTGAGCAATTACATGTTTATGAACAAAATATACTAATGGTTAATAGTAGATTGTATAGTTACCTTTATTCAACTCTAATGTTTTATCATCTACGGCAGCTTGCAGCTGAGTTAACTTAGTATTCAAGTCTATAATAATTTGGCTGTTTTCCTTATTTAATCTTTCTACGTTCTGTTTTTCAGTTTCTAGCTTTGATTCAGCTAATTGCAGCTTCGCAGTCAGTACGGAGACTTGTGTTTCGAATTCAGTCTGAGCGATAGCCATCTTAGTTTTAGCTTCGTTTAGCGCCCTTTCAGAATCAGTCTTCAGTCGAGTCAGCTCCTCGGACATGCTCTTGCCCAATGAATCTTTTTCGCTTTCTTTTTCTTTAAGGAGAGCGTAAGCTTCATCTAATAACTTCTGCAACTCTGACGACAAAGCTGGAAGGAGATGGCGAGTATTTAATATTACACGGTTTTTGTTTTCTGAAGTAGTGGTATCAGATATGATTTCGATAATAATGGAATTGTAACACAACTGTAAACAAACCAACAATCTTTTACTGGGGGATGCTGGAAGCATTATAATGACCAAATATCAGTGACAATGTTATTTAGTATACTACATTATCGATTCCCACTTACTATGTGCAGCAGCCAGTTCCTCGCGATGGTTTTCGTTAGCGGCGGCCATGTCTGCGGCGCGCTGGTCCTCCATCATGCGCAGCGCGGTGGCGGTGGCCTCGGCCCGCGCCGTCTGCAGCTCCGCCTCCGCCTCCAACTCGCGGATGCGTTGCTCACGTGCCGCCTTCTCTTGCTAAACGTGCAAATATAAAGATGAAAATGGAAAATAGGAAAAGTAATGTAGTTTTAAATAATGTTTTAATGGATAAGTCTGGATTATCAGAAGCATCGGACTTACCTCCATCGTTTCTTTATATTTCTGTAACAATAATAAAACGAATTAAGAATATAATCGAATCTCATGAACTTTGGAGACAAAGAATTTGATTACCTATACGAAAATAAATACGATTACATACTGATTACTCTAACTATAAATAGCAATCCTATCTTCTCTCTACACTTACATTATAATCTTCTCTATTGATATTCTCCTCTTCTGATCTGAACATGAGATCTTCCACCTTCTGCTTCTCATCCTCCAAGAGTTTGTTGATCTTGTCCAACTCGGATTTTAGTTTGCTGTTTTCTGAAGTTGCCTAAAAGACCAAACACAAAAATAATTATAGCTTTGCCTGGTTATATGAGTAAAAAGAATTCTTTCCTCTTGACAATCAGGTTCTAAAATACGATCTTCAACTTTAAATGCTAAAAGGACTAATGCCCGAATACTGAAACGTTACTCAATTTCAAGACGCGCTTAAGTATAGTTCTACAATAAAAACCAATTCTTTGTAAAATGACACGAGATGACACGATATTTAAGTACCTACAACTAAAAATTAAGTAGCCTTTGGTGGTTGAAAGCGTACCTATTGAAGACTCAAAATGCCAAGTTCTTTAAAAAAAAACGAAATAGTTCTTCTATTTTTAAAATGCTATCATCTCCTAAACCCATGTCTATTCAGTTTTTTTTTTTAGAATACGAGGACAAGGCACAGTGAGATGTTCTTTAGAAAAAAAAATGAATATAAAATCCTTTCTATTGAGTAGACCTTCTTGACTGTAAATCTTACGGAATAAAAGATGAGCACTTTACGTATGCGATCAAAGAGGGCTCAAAGTAAGGCCTCCATTCAGGGCACCTAACGCTCGTATTATGTAACGGACTTGAATAGATATTCTAGATCAAAGAAAAGTGTATCGCGCGTTCTCAATATGGAAGCAATAATGCTCGCTACTCTATTTTTATTAATATTAAACAAGAAATCAAAAACAAAATGGCATGATATAGTAGTGTATATCTTGCCATTTTATTTAGACTAGTGTTTAGAGCAGTGGGTTCTTTGAAAAGGGGTTTTAGTTATGATTACAGATTTATGACCAGTGGAGTCTATACACTTCGGCGCCCGTGGCAAATTTATCGGAAGGGCCCCCGTTCACAACAAAAAACAGAAGGTCAGATGGAACCCTCGGAACGGTGGCCCTTTCCAGCTGGGGCCCGTGGCATTTTGCCGATTTGCTACCTTGTAATTATGACACTACTGCAGTGACCAATCCTTACAAACATCGGTTTTGCCTTTAAAGCACTCCTATGCGAATGGTTGCAATAGTTATTTAGTCCCATGTCCCATGGATGGTAATGGAGGGCTGTCTCATATTCGGTGGAAATTAACTAAACCAGTATTTTATCAGATTGGAAAACTAAACTCATTTTATTGATAAGATCAGTCTTTGAACATATTTTTTGAAGCCTACATAACAAAAATTTATGCAATACAAATTGCGTCATCTTATTAATTAAGTATTTATTTTCCTTAAATGACTAAAGTAGCAATACCATCACGTTATAGCATAGCTATATGACGGATAAACAGCTGACTGAGTAATTAGGTACCTACTATGAATATTTTTCGCGTTCGTGTTGAATATTTTTTCCATACCTAAGCTAAGTGGCTATCTATTTACAAGTAATTTTAAAGGTAAATAAGTACGTTTACTACACCTGCTATATAATTTTGCAAGTAATAACTTAATTATCTCAGGTTCTTATGTTCTTATCTACGTTTTATGAGGCAAACAGAACACGATCATCTAGGTGCTCAGTTCACAGATAGTATTTTCGTCATCGTTTGTAGGAATGCCGATAACTAGGCTGTCTATGTTGCCTCACACTGGGCAATTGTAATTGCAATTTTATTTATTCGAAATTAAGGACAATCTCAGACTCTACTCTATTTTCAATCGTTCTTAGAAGACGGACTTCAAAGTTCGAACAAATACACCAAGGCCTGAGGCTGTATAATAAAATGAATTCAAGGAGGTTCCTACCTGTGTAGCCTCTTTCTTGAGTTGCGTGAGTGCGGTCTCCGCGCGGTTAGCCTGCAGGGATATCTTTGCCATCTCAGCGCGTTCCAGCTCTCTTTCCCTCATCAATCTCTCCAGATGTTGTTGTTTTTCTCGAAGGAGTTCCTGTTACCATAAAAAATGTATTCGATTTTTTTGTATAATCAATAACACTCGTGAGACATGAAAAATTACTTAATTATGTTTAAAGCTAATTCACATACCTCTTTAACGAGGTAAGTAACTCGACTAATTTCAAGTCGTTCTGGGGGCTCATAGTCGTGACAATCTAACAGTTACGTTAAAGCTGTATAACATAACTTATTGTATCACAATCCTATGCATTTAAATACTAAGTGATATTTGCAAATTTAAAGTGTCTACAAAAAGATCATGTTCCACAATACACCAAATTAACCAAATAATCTTAAACAATAACTTGAAAGGCGTAAATACATTCCACCGCTTAACAATAGGTACTTATTACTATAGGGTAGGTACTCTGGGTACTTCACAAACTTATGAAATAATGTTCAGTAGTCATCAAGAATTCTAATTATGACTTCATGGAGCATTTCTGTCGTTGACTTCCATTTGTGGTTAACTTGTTTTCGATGACAAACCGCATGATTTTTCTTGTAACATCATCATTGTAGTAGGTAGGTAAGGCTGAAAATAAATATTGATAATAAATTAACTACCTATATTTAAAACAAAATAACATTATTTAAACAACAACATAATTTTCAGCGACTTAACCATCTTAATTTAGATAAATCGTAACAAATATAAATGCTTCGGTTTGAGGAAAATCACCTAAAGATACATAAAATTATACTTTCAGCTTACCTGTTCCAAGTTTCATCGTAATTTTTGCTTTAGTGGATAAAAATACATTGTTTAAAAGCACTATAACAGTATCTCGGTTACCTTTAAAACAAACCCTAAGCGCCATTTACGACTTCTTAACCCGTTGAAAATCATCCCCTTTTGTTCATACAAAAGTAGTCTCTAAACATTGGAAATAAGGTCTATAATGTAGTTAGTGGAGAGCGGAGACCGGTGACCGCTTGGAATTTCATCGCAGTCAAAGCCAAAACATTTAAAAATATATATCTCAAGTCGGGACTTCGGGAGGCAAGATATTTAAATCAATATGATACTTCAGCTGGCTGTAGGTGTGTACATACAATAATAGGTAGCTACTTGTTATTACTTTGTCGAGGGACAGGGGAGGGTACCCGGGTCCCTGCGCAGACAATGCCTGCGGGGTGCAGTATCTAATTTTCCGCTCCAATTTGTAGGTACCTCCGTTTACCGTTCGTATCGTCACAATTCCATTTCCGAGTCGGCGAATTCGAAATTATATTGGAAAAGATTTTTAAATCTCGAGGAATTTTTATTTCCTTTTGCAGCGTTTCACTTCTCACTTTAAAAATGTGTGTAGGAGGTTATCATTAAAATTTTCGTACCTACCGGTTTTAAATCCTTTTAGGATTATTTAAGACTAACCGTTGATCGCGTACAATCTGAATTTTAGGATATAACTGCTTTTGTTTCCATTTTCCAAAATAAAAAATAGCCTATATTACTCCTTAGTAGGTACCTACCGGCTGCTGCCAATAAAAGTCTTGTCAAAATCGGTCTAGCCGTTCCAGAGATAAGCTAGTACAAACATACAGACAGACAAAAATTGTAAAAACTGTTATTTAGGTATGTGCATCGTATGTATATTCATATGCATGTAGTAAAAAGCGGTTATTTGAATATTACAAACACACACTCCAATTTTATTTATCTGTTTAGTATTACTTAGGTTATAGTAAGTAAGTATACATGTCATTTTTTTCCGGTTACCTAGGATAATATCCATTTTAAAACGAGCATAACTCTGTTAAATTGTCTACGCGTATCTTAATTGCTTACACATGATGACAACAAATTAATAATGTACAGTGTAAGTGGCTCAATTAATGATATTACCCTATTAACATGATGTGCCTACATAAATCAAAATATTAATGATATTAGGAACTACGCAATCAGACTCTCCCACATATTACACACTTAGATAACTAAAAATTATCGCAGTTATCTAAAAAACAATCATTTGCAATTTATTTGTGATTCATTTCAATATACGGGTCATTTAGATATCGACATTAAGTAGGTATAGTATAGGTAATGTTGTTATTCCGTCCTTTTCATTGACACTTTATTATTTTATTTTTTTAAGGGGGAAAATCATCGCATGACTGCTCCCGTCTGGGTTAGGCGGGAGGGAGTGTCGGACTCTTACTGACTAAAAATCACCCCGTTCCTACTCCTGCACTTCGAGCCGGAGCCCCGGTAACCCGTTAAGTTCTCCGCGGCTCCGAAAGTAGGTAGGTATAGGTAATGTTGTTATTCCGTCCTTTTCATAGAGACTTTATTATTTGTGAACAAAGCCTTGAGTAGCCTTGACCACACCACGGTTAATTGTCACATGAATAACGTATTTATTGTATATATACAACATACCTACTATTGTATTGTCTTCATGCGAAGAAAATTTTGTAAATATTTGAGAACCGAGTTCGACAATCATACTTAGGTATAGCGAATTGATAGTTATTAACTAACTACATAATAACATCCTTACTTCCTTACTAATATTATAAATCGGAAAATGAGTTTGTTTGTTTGTTCCACTTTCACGCCGTAACTACTAAACCGCTTGCTTTGAATTTTTGCAGACGTGAAGTTAGAAGTCCGGATTAAATAATAGCGTACTTTTATCCCGGAAAAAATTATATTCTCGAAGGAAAACGAAATTAATGGTATAGATGGCGCTGTGTGTATATGTCACATAGGCTACTTTTTATCCTTTTGTGACGCGAGCGAAGCCGCGGGTAAAAGCTAGTCTTAATTAAAAGGCTTTTTAAGGGGGGAAAATCATCGAATGACTTCACCCGCCTGAGTGAGGCGGGAGGGAGTGCCAGACTCTTTCTGACTAAAAACCACCCCGTTCCTACTCCTGCTCTTTCAGCCGAAGCCCCGGTATTTAAAGAGTACATTCATAAAAAAGTTTTTAGTAGGCTTGTTATGTAAACATTTTCAATTTATGGGAATAGGGTAGGGAACAGTGTCTGAAACTTAAAAATGCAATTATACCGTCAGTTAGATTGGATAATGAAAAAACATTAGACACATTTTTTTATTGTGTCGTATGAGAAAACAATACTTAGATAAAACGGAGTTAAGTTTAGGATATCGTTACGTCACGCTATCCTGTAAAATATAGTAAATCGTGACGTCACATGATATTTCAAATCAATATATCCTCGAAAGTATTTAATTTTATAAGAAAAGAAAAAAGAAATACGTGTTTGTTCTAAAATAATCTACCAGACGGACATTCAAATAACATTTAGGATACTACCCTATTAATGAGAACCTAGCAGTTAAACGGCATATCAGAGCCAAAGAACACGCTTTTAGAACATAGTACCTACAGAACGACAAATCGCGTAACATTTATGAAATAGAATTATTTATTTCTGTCATAAGCATGTTCGCATTCATCCGCACTCTGCACTCAAAACATTTTCCATTAGTTAACCCGCATGTACTTTCAGAAAAGGAAAATATTATGTAATATGTATACGTATGTAAAACCTTCAACTTCCTTCTCTAGCTAAATGACTGTGACAGAAGTCACTAAGGCTAGTTATACATAGTATCGCGGTTCATATAACTCGGCTGTCAGCACCGACGGTCAGCGTGCAGTCAGTGCGACAGTGAAACCAGCCTAAGAAGTATACATGCTGGTCTGGTATTGTGTAGCATGAGAAATAGTTGGTAGGTAGACTGATTACCTACAATTTCATGATTATTAATTAATTATTCATGCAGATAGGTATTAAAAATCATTAATGAATAAGACTTTATTACGCTAACAAGCACACACACATCAGCAGTAGGTAGTTCCATAAACGATTTTATGACTAACTATAAGTGCTAATTCATGTTGTAAAAGTCGTGCGAAAATTAATCGCCATTAACTTTCCTCTATTCAGTTTTCAAACAAACGTCCAACGTTATAACCTTAGAGAATATTTGTTACGTAAGCGTGTGAAATCTATTTTTGTACAAAGTAATATCCATTTATTCTAGAATAGTGTACATTGTAGTGTTGCGTCAGTCCCTTTCCAAGGTCTGCGAGGTGTTAGGTATTCTCCAGAGGTTGTGGGTGACGGTAATCTGGCATGTTGCATGACCTAACATCACGTAGGCAGCCGGTACCTAGTCATGCCATGTCCACTCCTCGTCTAATATGTATTAATAACCGTCATTTATGCGACTACCATTTGCTAAATTGGTATTTACGATATTTCTTCGCGTAGGAGGCGTTCTTTGCATAATTTCTTGGAAACAACAGTAGATGTTGACCATAAATATGCTAATTATTATTTTGACAACTTTTAAAATGTTGCTAGAGTTAAAAATATTTTAGACGATATTTAAATCGTAAAGCAGTAGCTACAGCTTGATTATGTTAGGATAAGCAAAAAGAAACCTTGTCGTGATTTGTCCAAATGCCATTCAACTTTAGGTTGTATGTTGTACAAACTGGTTACCTAAGTAATTATACTACAGACTTACTTAATGAACATTGTAGTTGAGCCAAGGAATCATAAAAGAGGATTAGGAAGGAGATTACTATTCTCGTATACAAGTCTCTGTCAACTAAGATGCGCACTCAAGCTACGTGAGTGTAAGGACCAGACCACCCGCATGAGAGAAACGGAGTTATCGATTGCGGAAATGTTCAAACGGTAGGGACCGTCTGGAAACGACTTCGCAATTTACGAATAAGAGCTGTTCACTCGAAAAGATACCATCTCCTTATATGGATGGTAATATGCGGGACCAACGTAGCTAAAGTATGGGCTTCGTTATTTTAGCATTCCTATGTTGATTCAACAAAATGAATATGCATACGGCTGCTTATTAAGGACTGGTACAAGACTTAAAGTTGGGTGTGTAATTAGCTATGACGTTATATCTAGCTCAGACTATTCTAATAGGTGACAGCATTAAGTGCCTTTAGCTTAGTAGGTCTGTGAACTATTGAATTAGGTAGTCAGAGCACAGGTGACCCTAATACGAAGGCTAAGGGTCCCTAGTGAGACATTTGTTGTGTTGTGAGGAGCTGACATGAGATGAGATGCCTCTGGTATGTAATATTAATAAGATTTCCAGCCATCTCTCATATCATGTAGGTTAGATACATGTAGCTGCCCACGCTAGCTCATATAAAACGTGCCTTACCATTAATATTCGATATTTTATTCACATGTCTCTCTTATTTAATATTCTAAAAGGAGATTAACGGTATATCTAGAGGTCTACCGAATGGAATATTGAAGTGATTCCAAAAACTATTAGCAGAAATATAATAGTTAATTTTTGGCACAAAATAAAAGTGTTTATCTCAAACAAGGATCAGAAAAGGATTAATTTAATAATTATCTAGTTTCTATCAGCCAGTCAATCGGAATGGGACCTGAAAGATTTGTAACTACATTTTACTGAAAACTAATTATTTAAAAGTTACTATCAATCAGTCAGTCAGTCAGTACGGAACATGAAAGATACAATTGTTTGCTGTAACTACATATCACTGAAAACGTTTCTAAGACGTCGAGATCTTGGATCAAAAATAATGACAACGTCCAATAGAACTCTGGGTCTAATCACTCAAAATCGTTTTCTGCCCTAAGTAAAAGATAATAACATGTACTCATTGGCAGACGGATCTACGAACAAGTGTAAGAGATCCACATCTCCAGCCTTGTAGAACATGCGTCAATGATCAGATAAATACCAAACAAGTTTAACATAAAGAATACCCCGCACCGGCACCAATATTTACATACAAAGATATTCTAATAACCACACCTCCATTCATGCATATCGTATCGCTAGTCAACATGAAACAACTTGCTTTATTCGAGATCTCCACAAGGTTTTATGAAGACATTTCTACTTCCTCAAACCTTAATATAACATCCTACTAATACTATAAATGCGAAATGTGTATGTTTGTTTGTTCAAGACGGCTGAAGGGATTTTTTATAAGGGGAGAAAATCATCGAATGCTGCTCCCGCCTGGGCGAGGCGGGAGTGTCAGACTCTTACTGACTAACTTCGAGCCGGAGCCCCGGTAACCCGTTAGGTTCTCCGCGACGGCTGAAGGGATGGGGATGAAATTTGGAACAAGGGTAGATTATGATCTGGGATAACATATAGGTTAATTTTTATCTCATGGGCACGCGGGTCAAGTTGCGGGCAGAACCAGCTTCTACATACATTATATCATAGTTATCAAGGATCTTTGTAATGTATGTATTTTATAGAAAAGCCACGTCTAATTATTTTATACAATATTTATTTAAGTGCCTCGCAATCTCAAGATAACATCGGTTGTAAATCTATTCCAAGAAAATTAACGAGAAATTAATGTTTTTATTATCATCAAGATAAGTATGTTTAACGCGAATTTTTCGGATACACCGTCGCGGTATACTATATGATTTATGTCAGTATACAAACATACATATTGATAAATTCTATGAAATATATCAATCAGAGCGATATGAAAACAAAGCACTTTTATTTTATTACTCACGCCATTTGAGACGCAATAAACGTTTTGGTTTCACTTTTATGATTGTAGGCGTGTAACAATAAATAAACGGAGTAAAAATAAGCGATCAAACCGAATAATTTACGAGGACCCGCAACCCGACTCAGTTATGGGGGCTATGGAAATCACGTATCGGCTGTGAATATCAAATTACTTTTACAAAATTACTCAGTCAAGGGCAATCTCGAGTCGGGACAGTTTAGGGGGCGAAGCAGACATACCACGAATGTTACAAGTTGTTTCACATTCGTCACAAACCAAGAACCTCGCACATGCTCACACAAGCCATTGTACAGCGTCACAGATGCAATAAAACAACAGTTTAGTAAATCTTTATTATTTATTACCTCCATAAAACTAGGGATACTGAAGGTAGGACAATAATACGCAGAGAAAGTAGTACATTTTATTAAAACTAAACTTTTATTTATTAATCACTATTCGATCTCACAAAATTACGTTTTAAAAGGTATTACATGTATAAATTATAACCTAAAATGTTATTCTAGTAGTAGTTTAATTAATTACTAATAAGTTATAACAATAATATATTAAAAGAGAAATCTTATTATAGTAGCAATGGAATGCTCGTGTCCATGAGTCTTTATGTTATGAATATCATCATTACTTACAGGCACTGGTCAGTATTAAAAACTAAAACAATATCGCTAATAAAATGCATCTAAAACATAATAATGAAACAATATTCTCATGATTTTTTTTTAGATAAACATCTAATAAAACAAAAACCGAAAAGTATCACAGCTTTGCTATTATGAAAAAGATTGATATTTTTATATGTGTACTGTAAACTACGTGCTGGTGTATTGTTGGAACATGATCATCATAAAATTAAATGTGTTTTGTACTTAGAAGTGCGTTATAATTGACAAATATTGTCTCTTATACATATGTACAGCGGCCCAGAGGGCGACAGGACGGTTCGGGATACTAACATTATTAATTGTTAACAGTTTAGTTTGTAAGTATACAAAACAATATCAAAGAAAACAAAATAAATTACAATTACGTACATTCGTTGTCGTTTCATTAGTATGAAAGAAACAATCTTAGATTAAGCTGCTCAATATTTTGAACGGTCAAAACAAAGGAAGCCCCGAGTCGCCGGCGGCGCAGTTGGAACACACTAGCGCCACACGTGTACTGAACTTCAGAACATTAGTAAGGACGGTTGTAAAGCCGGCCACATACTTTCTGTTTCCGAATTACGGTTCCCTGGTAAGGAATTCAGATTCGGAAACCGAATGTGTGTGACCGGCTTTAGATTGTGTCCTTTGTTTCTGAATGTGGGTTTTGACGTTTAGCACACGTTTAGCGCGCGAGTAGCCAGCCTACCGCGCGGCGATGGTGGGGTACTGTACCTGTAGGGCGTTCTTCGCGGATACCGGGGTGGAGGAAGCTCGCGGACCACCAACACGCTGCCGCCGTGCCGTTAGTGACAGTGCGAATGCGCAACAAACATGAGGGAAAACAACACGCGTTAACGCACTCAACTCACACTGCATGGTGTATCATAACGCAGCTACATCAGAGGGCCTTGTACTAGTTTGTTTTGCATTTAACGTTACGTTTATGACGTACGGCGTTCTGATTGGCCTGCTCCAATTAACCAACCAATCAGAAGGCTAAACGCCGTAACGCTTCTATCGGGTTATACGTAAAACAAACTGATACTAGGCCCTCAGTACTGATATATGCCCATATATATGATCATGCCCAGCTGAACAACTACACTGTTCTATCACTGCTACACACAAATGATTATCACTTATGTGTAGAAGTGATAATCCAATCTAGTCCTCAACTGGTCACTTCATATGACATGTCAGTTTGATCAAATAGCGCCAGCGCTTTTCTCAAAAACACATGATCAGTATGAAGCACATTTATCAGTACACAGAACTTTGATATGTTGTATTAACCAACTTGTTTCAGATACACCATAGAGTGACAACAGGGCACGATAGACGGTGTGTCACACACACAGACTGTCGTGCCAGCAAATTATAAAAAGCACTAAAACTAATGGAGTGGTTCGAAAAACTACTAATGAAAGTGCAGTATAAAATATGTATACTATGTATAGGGACATTATTTTAAATGATAATTATAAATATTTCACTAAGTATATATTTTTCGAAATATTCATGATTAGTAGTTCATAAAGTAACTTTCTAATAAGTACTAGGCGTAACAAATTACTAGGAATAGATAAATGCACAATGCACTTAATACATATAAGGATTCTTTGGATACATAAGTCTTTAAAAGGGGCTTCGAGCAATGAAGCCCGTGTCAGCCTCCAAGCCTTTTCAAAACAAAAGGCACCGATTATAATGTGGGTTAATGAGACCATTTGCAAAACAATTGTTAATTCACATAACACATGTTTATCATGAAGCGTCCAAAAAGGGAGTCTTAGAAATAATATCACAGAAACAATATTTTTAGACAATACGATATGACTATTGCAGTCTTTTGAAACTATATGAAACTAAATATGGGCATACTAGAAGCCAAATGAGATGAGTCACTACGAACTAATGTTTCCAATTCACTAATGAGCATACAATTTAAAATGTTATAATTAAAATAAAAGAAATACGTGAAATTGAGCAAAATTAGTGAATCGAAAACATAAAAAAAAACGAAATAAGTCACAAAAATAAATTAAACACACGGGCCAAACCAAGGAGTGCCAGCTACAGACCATAAATAAACTCAAACCAATTGTCATGCAAAAATAAGCAATTTCTATATGAATAGTTACCATCACTATTGCGTGTCATCTCACGTTCACGTTATTGTTTACAAGTACCTGTAGAGGTAGTATACTGTGTGGTACTCTATCAATGGCAAATTGTACTTCCAATTGACCGTAAACACTCGTCATCTTCGTGACGTCGACAACTGCCGGCTACTCAGCGCAATGTATACAATTAAACACATTGCACGTCATGCAATTCGCTACGAAGGTATGCCCTCGGCTCTCCGCATAGTGTGCATGATTTTGGTTTATGTTTATAATTTTCCCGCCCAACACCAAAATATCACAACTAAAAGAAGCCACCAATAAAATTGACAAGCCAGGACTCGATATCGTGTCAGTTAATGGCTGAATTTCGGTTACATGAAATTCAAATGTAAACTACATAGGGGTACGTGAACTGAAAGGGTGACACACAAGAGAAATGATAGCTTTTCCCAAAGCCTGAGAAGTGAGTGCGCGGCGGCGGCATCTCGACGAATATTTCGGCACTTGTAGCTGAGGCGACCCCGCGGCTGGCCCGAGTCACGGCGGCCGGCCGGCCCCCCCACCGCACCACCTCGCCGCCCCCGCCCCGCACACTCCGCGCTACTGATCCACTGGCGCTGCTGCCGCTCGACTCGCTGCGCCGTGACCGCTCCGACCGACTGTCGAAGCTGAGCACGCTCTCCGAGCATCTCCAAGACTTTGGCAGTGTCTCACTTGCCCAACGTCGAGGGTTTAGCTCTTTACTTTTATCGGTGGATCGAAATACTATATCGTAATAGACTCGCGGCTTCGGTAAAGCGATTATGGCGCAGCGATCGTTTTCGACATGCTTGACGAGCAAAGTCTTGTCGAGCAGGCTAGGCGCACTGCGATGTGGTCTCGTGCGGGCCGGGGGCGGCGGAGAGCGCGGTGAGCGAGGCTCAGCCGATCGCGCGCGGGGCTAGCCTACCTGAGCGCCCAGCGACGTCACCCCGAGCCTCACCCCCACACGGGAAGACGCGATAGAGGTGCCCAGAGACGTCAACGACTCCCGCGAGTTGGAGCGCCGCAGCGGTGTTGCGCGTCCGTTGCTGTGGATGGCGCAGGCGCCTGGCTTACGGTTTGATGGCGACCGTGACACTTTCGAGATAGGTGCGAACAAACCAAAACGAGGGGAGCACTCGAAATATCTGGAAAAAGAGTCGAGATCGGTATAAGAAATTGAACCGTCTGTTGTAGCACAGATTCATAATTGTTGTTAAGTCTGTACCTTTTCCCATCTACTGAGCCATCATTCTTTCCAAGAGGATCGTCGAGTTCTACGCCCGCCCAGACACCAGTGGCAAAATCGGTAACACCAACATAACGAAGTGTACCCGCTTTACTGCCGCGACTGCTAGATACAATAACGCGGTCTCCCACGCGGACTTCTCCGTTTGTGGTTGTCGAAATTGATGCATCTATGGAAAAAAGTGGATTGTTTAGTTGGGCCTAGCTACCCTTATGATATAGACATTTGCTTAATTACTCACTCATCTTGCTGCTAACCATGCTGCGTATGCTACCATTTGGTGAGAGTGCTCGTCTTTGTCTGGTGCCGGATGGAGGGCGTTCGAAGACGCTGCCCGCATCTGAGATCGGGGACGCATCGTGGGGAGCATGTGTCACAAGGGGGATGCGGGTCAAGCGAGTTAGTCGAGAAAATACACCTCGTTTTTCGGGACACTGGAAATATCGAACCCCAGCTACAGAGCCGTCGTTTTTACCTGCAAATAGCAAACACTTGTTAGAATAACATTAATAAAAAGCATTTAGTGTTAATACCAATATGTAAGAAGCAACCAACATACCAATAGGTTCGTCAAGCACTATGCCAGCCCAGTCGCCGGGTGCGAACTGTGTTTCACCAATGTAAGCGATCTGACCAGGCTTGGTACCACCCACCCAAACTCGTTCGCCAATTATAAAGCTGTCAGTATCTTCTGTTAATATAACACTATGATCTGGAATAATAAATGGAATATTAACAAAGGTATTAAACATAGTTTTTCATGAAAATAAAAACAAATAAATATTTTCTTCTTCATCGCAAACATACATAAATAATAGAATATGTGACGAGGACTCAAGTAGATTTATAGTCGTTTGAATATGCATACGCTCGTCACTATTCCAAACACACGTATCGTGCATTTATGAACTGAATATACCGTTGTATGCAAGTGCATGGCCACCGGGGTGAGTCGCAAACTCGTTTGCATATCTTACATCAACGTTAGGGACTTTCGTTCCGTTCTCTAAACAAACTGCAGTTGACTTGGAGACATCCACTACGCGCTGCAATAGAAATCCAAGAAACAAAAGCTCATGCTTTCAACCATCGCATATCTGCGCAAACACCACGACAAGCACACAGAATCAACATATTGAAACATCTAAAGAGCAGTGATGGGTGCGGTCTATGGTGCATGGTTTGTGTCTAAGTGAAACTTAAGATACGGAACCAAAATTAGTTCCACGACAATAGTGAAGTGTGACGTATACGTTTGTGCACGAATTGTAAGGTAGATAAATTGTGTGATAGGCATGGGAACGTCACGTATTGTCGTGGAGCAATAATGTTGGTAAGAGATACCGTGCTAGTTACCTGACGACCTCCGGAGGCCAGCCTCGCTGAGGCGGCGCGGGTGCTTCTCCCACAGCGCGTCCATCGAGGTGACACTGAACGTGCTGCTAGCTGCGATACACACAAGCGACACACACATACACATTAGCCTCTAACTAATAGACAAGTGCTCCTACTTCACACGTTTCACTACATTTCGTAACATTTCCTCTCATTATGACAATTTTGACGTCTACGTAATATGCAAGAAATGGTCTACATGCGCATCCGAGTACACGATGCGGTTTATTAAACTCATTAGCCTGCTGTCGTCTGTCTAACAAAAATCTAACTTTTCTTCATGATCATGATGAATACATATTTATTAAGAGTCGTGTCAAGTTCATGGTTATAATCATTATATTATAAAGTATTAATTATATCTTTCTACTTGCCCGAGATCTGCTATTTCGAAGGGAATATCATAGATAGCATCATTAAAAAACTTAGTTAAAATAAAATTAACGAAAGTCTGCTCGTGAATGTATTAAGTACTATTTAGTAGGTTTATATTATTGTTGCAGTATCAAGCAAAACCCACGGTACAGATGTAATATATCTACTACCCAATACAAAATAAAACTTGTTTCGTTTTCTAAGTCACCAGTGTTATTAGTTAGCTTATCCTCAATTCAATTCCTCGTTATGTAATTAATGTTGTTGCTTTGTCTACTAAGTGTGAGACTTTGTTATGGAAAAAAAGCTAAACAAAAGATAGGAATTATGAATCGATTGTAAAACAATGTCACTAATTGATCGTAGGCGAGCGCCTCTACTTGTTGACACGCAAACGATCGATGCAATGCGATTGAAACGCGAAGCATTTCAAACGCGGAAACCGATATTGTTAATACGTCCCCCCGACGTGCATATGGCGCTAGCTTCATTAAATCATTAGTATCTAATCAATATTAGCTATCAACATTCCAATCTACCTGGCTATTAATACTTTACTCCTTTTTCACATGCACAGAACTTCATGTCTGATCTGATAAGTTGTGAGTTTGACTAGAAAATGTTACGCTCTGGTACGATTATATTTCTTTAGTTATGTCGTATCGAATCGTATGACAGTTCATCGTACTACCTAGCTCTCGTTTAGTATGTGTTGTGGTACCGTCCCCTAGCACTAATTAGAACCATCACCATGTTACTATGCGGATTATTATTTACAGAGCATGCCGCCACCTCGACAGTTACTCTACAGTTATTAGTGGACCAACTTACTAGATGCCTTGCGGTGTGATCGCGGTCTCTCCGGTAAACTGCTAGAAACTTCGTCCTCCTCGGCTTCAAGTAAATCTGCTCCAATTCATCGAGACAGAATTGTGAAATATGAAGAAATGATATTAAAAACTATGTACAGTTACAATGGTAATGACAAGTGATGATATCGTGTAATGTGCGTGCATAAAGTTCGTACACGAAAAGCATGGACCATGCATGCTTATTGTGCTCTCATGCGTTCATATAAAATAAGACATTTATCATAACAGTCAACCTTGGACATGCTGGAACTCACCTGATAAATGTTTTCTCGAAGAGTCGTCACTGAGCTTCCTTAGCGTGTCCGAGGAACTGCCGTCTACGACAACAAAAAACAAAGACACATAAAGCAAAAAATAAAAACATGCCGACAAAAAATATAGTGATGACAATGATACAAATTACAAAATTATCTAGAGACAGATGGTAGAAACATGTATGCACTCGACATGATTACAGAAATTATAGCAATTTGATTAATGTTTCATGATAAACAGATGGTCTGAAATATTAAGGCAGAGTTTGATAAATTCACATAACTTGCGGACGTGTGAGACAGTGAGATACCCACTGTAGACTATAAACACGAGCCACGACTGGTATCAACGTCCACACATTTGAGTAGGCTCAATGTGGTGGGTGATAATATTATAACATTAAAATTGTTTGCTTAAGAAAATTTATTGCTTTTTGATTTGAAATGTCCAATTAGTACTGTTAATAGTAGCTAAAAGGCAATTGTCATCAAGTTGTCAGATTAAATTGAATTTGACAGGTGTAGATTTGTTTGTAGTCGTGTGGACTCCGAAGGTGTGACAACACTTAACTTGCACTGTTCCGATCCACGGTTAGACACGTGTAGAGCCGGCCGACTGGTAGTAGCGTATGTCCGGCACTGATCGTCCGAAGCCAGATTAATCATCAAAGACAATTGCGCAGCGAAGCGGCCTTGTGGACGCGCGTGGGTTTTATATCATAACCGAATGGTGTGACAAGATGCTCATCTCATAACTATAATCTAGGAAGTTACCTACAACTGGACATTTACTGTACGTAAAGAAAGTGATATCACAACAAGTTAGCTCAGACTTTCTGGTCGCAATTAATATGACCGTTAATATTGCGCCAAATTAAATAACTATACTGTCGCTAAGGCTACAATTTGCAGCAATTTACAACCGTTTAGTTTATAATCGATAATTATAGTGATCAATCAAACTACATGCTATAATTAAAATACGCAATGTGTAATCATCACGCATCTGTTCCGTAAACCCCGAAGCTGTTCCGCGTAGGTTTATATTGCATTTGATTGGTCATATTTTACATGCGATCATATCATCATAGCAATAATGACAATAATTTCTAGACCAAACGTATAGCGTGCTCTATAATAAAACATGGCGTTATAACGAACCTAAATGGAACTTGTCTGGAGACAAATTATAGCTGGAGCATAGACCACTGCAGACATACATAAAGTATTTACTAATAAATTCTTTAATAGGCTGCGACGAGGGGTTTCTGTCATACTTAATATTCACAGTTGCAAGTTTTCCCATTGAACATATTACTGCGAAACGTTTCAATCTATACAATTTATAGATCTATATTTTGCGTGTATTTTATGCCAATTTGGTTTACTGCGTTGTAAACATGTATACGAATATAAAATAACTATAAAAACAAATGATTTATCATCCGCGACCTTCGGAAGGACGTCTTTAACCACTTTTGTGGCTTGACGATTCATACAAGAACGCGGTCATTGAGGAAAGCGATAAAACATATTACAAACATCAAAAACATTTGCTGCGTTACCATATCATCGGTAGGTACTGATGCGGAAACATTATATTAAACTATTTGTCCATATTTCGTGGTCACATTAAATTTAATTGACAACATTAACATAACAAGAAGGATTTTTTTCATGTTTGTCGGACAAATGACGGACTTCTTTTGTCATGTAAAGAGGTATATTTGTCATTATTATTGAATACATTCCACACATTACAATGCGCCTGCGATTCAAGTGACAAGGACGAAATGTTCTGAAGGGGATAAGAAACAGATATAAAAGACAAAATTAATGTTTGTAAAATAAACAGCGAGAGATAACCTTTCGATAGCGTTTTTGAAACAAGTATAATATTAATACAATGTTATCGTGGCAGGTGTTATTATGTGACAAAGTTTGATCCCACGCTAATGTTCGTGTTCTCCTGCCATAGCTCATTGCGGGGGCGGCCTAATCTAGTTCTACAAAACAATATTCCCCTAGTGAATCATGGACGTTTAACTATCACGTAATAACTTTTACACTTTGATGACACAATTCTGTTTTACGATGGAACTTGCAATAACTTCGAAATGTGCATAATAAGGAAATTACACGATTTATTGCATCATGTTTAGATACTTAGATAGTACGACCTTTTCATAATATTATCGTAGGTTTATGAAGTCGAGTTTGTAAGTAACCCTTTGGAAATACCAACGCTGAGTGCCTTCGCGGTATTTCCCTAAGTTATCGAGAAATAGGGGACTATGTCTTGTGACATTTTAGTTTAATAATTTAATTACTGAAAAGACATTAAGTGCCGTAATGTACAAATTTGCCTACCCTTCGGGGATAAAAGGCGTAATGTTATGTACTAAGAAGTAAGAAGTTATGCATTTGGATACTGGAGTGGGTTACCATGTGCTAACTGCTTTTGGTTGGTTGCAAATTGCTTGAAATCAGATCAATATACCTATTTACTTTTTCTAACTTTACATCTTCAGTAGGTGGGTAAAATTTACAAAATACTTTAACATTTCATTAATATCAAGTGTCGTTAAGTAACTTAGTAACTTACTATGATCAATATTTATATTGGATAGTTTGAGAGGAAGGTCATATTTTAATTTTTTAAAACCATATTTTGAGCTTTGATCAGCAGAGTTGTTAACTTTGACTAGAGGTTGTAAATTTTAATTTTTTTTTGAAGTATCACTCAGGTACCTTGTAATCACGAGATGCAAATTGACAGGTAGTGGAAGATATTCAATAACACAACCAATATTATAATTCTTGGTGCGAATATTTTGATTAACAAATACGAATGATGTAACTGCTATAATAAGAAACATCAATATTTAACCATTTCATTAGCAATATCACGAATTACTCGGCAACACAGCGACGAAACTTTTTGGTTACGACTATGACTTTGGTTTTTGTGGTCAAGTTCAAGTTGACGTACTCGTACATGATAAAAACAAGCAGATTAGAAATTAAATATTTGTTTAATTTCGTGTTGTTTTTTCTGTGTGTATCTTTCACGGTCTCGTGGCTGAGTAAATAACATTCTCGGGATTACATAGGTACAGTCAATGTGATAAATGACCATGTGATACTAGCGCCCCACTTCTGCTAATTAAATAAAGCTGGACGCTACTAAGTTTTAAATCGAGTGGCCGAGTGTTCGCAAGTGCGACTGTCGGGCAAGGGGTCTCGGGTTCGATTCCCGGGTCGGGCAAAGTATTACTGGGATTTTTAAAAATTCTCAGTAATAGCACGGAGTCTGGATTTGTGAGCGGTATATGGCAATAGCCTCACCCCTTATTAGGTACATGGGACTCATAACATAAATAGTGAACAGTGGGTGTTACATTGTACAGTCGCATAATGTGCACCCCCGCTTACCCCTTCGGGGATAAAAGGCGTGATATTATTATGTATGTTACTATTAAAAACACAAACACAGTTTGAATTCATTCTACAGTAACGTGTTATCTATCTATTACTCACAAGACGCAACATGTTTATTATAAGTACACCTACATAATCTGCGATCACCGATAACTATCCGATAATCGAGATAAGTTTATTTTTCAAGATAAAAAAAATAAAGAATAACAAATATCGAGTACATCCGAATTGTCTGTGTCTGTGAGTATTCACAATAGAGTACCTTGTTGAAATACCAAACACTAGTTGACTAGATTAACCATTTACTGAAATTACTTTTACAACATGTTTTTAGTTCACCGCTCAGTTCGATCCGCGAATTAAAACGTAGTTAGCATCAAGTGTTCCAATTAATCGAGCTCTGTGTAGGTATCACACTTTCCCGACGAATAGACACTAATTCGTCAATTAAGGACAATTTTGCGGTCAACATGAGAGTCGACCGCAATTGATGCAACGAGCCAACTAGTTGTTGCAGGACAGATGCAATTCTTGATGGCAATTACATAGTTTAGTTAACAGGACATGTGAATCTGGCTTTGTTAAAGAGATTTCACGATAATTAAGATATATTACTCGTGAATTGCGATCTGCCGTGCCGTTTCGAAATTGCACCAAGTTTACGTGTCAATTTATTAACAAAATAACGCAATTACTCATGCTTAATATCTCACGCACGATGAATATAACAACCAGATATTGCGTGATGATCGGTTATCATTCTGAATGTTTATTTCCTTTTTCGACTTTCTCTGCTGTAAGTGAAAACCTTTTGGCTGAATAAAATTTTAACAATTTATTAGGGCACTGAATTAGATCTGGTTCATTCCGTTCACTACACTTTGAAACAGAAATACTCGGTGTGACCGAGTTGGCTGCAGACTGCTGCCGCCATCCCAGCTATGTATGTGGCGGCGCCGAGAAATGGCAACAAGATCGCATGTACCTATAGCGATGTCAATAAACACCTATGAATCATCGACCTCATATTTCAAGCAATTAATTGTAGATACATTATCATAACTGAAATATTTATTGGCTGCAATGTTTATGGGAAAAAGTGGTGGTAGATGCGTGAGTCACCAGCCGGTATGGACACAATGTTCGTCGTACCTTATTATAACAGTAAGCCGCGTATAATAACGTAAGACGTATACAGAAACACGATACGCCAATTTGTATGCACTGGCAAATGACAATAAAGCCTGATCTGGCCATATACAGCTAATTTTAAGCCAAAAGTAGTATTTCACGTATTAAAAGGGACTCTGGTTTAACATCTGACCAAAATAACAGATAAGTTATGTCACTCAACGCAATGATGTTTATTACCACCCGAAACTCTTTCACGATTTATGAACCATTGTTTTAATCTCGGTAATTGACAATGATGGAGATGCCGATACTATCAATAAGATCACTGGAGGCATTCGCGATATCTGCGGCCAAGATAACGGACTCGTAGTCGTATCAAATCAAACTGGGTCAGTTAACAGATAGCGTGGTTATAGAATAAATTCAATGCAAATCTAGTGTTTACATAGAATGCGACTGTCACGGTTGATTAGCTTAAACGGAACGTG